CAAGGATGAGGCTGATGCCATCCGCATTGGCAACGGTACCAACTACGGTATGTATTGTTTACGTCCCTGAAATCATGAATGGTTATTCTAACTGTATCTAGGTCTTGCTGCCGCTGTTCACACCAAGAACGTCAACACTGCCATCCGCGTTTCTAACGCCCTCAAGGCTGGGTATGTTTTATCTTGACCAATCCCTGCTGTAACAAAAGCTAACTCTATTATAGTACCGTCTGGATCAACAGCTATAACATGATCTCCTACCAGGCTCCCTTTGGTGGCTTCAAGGAGTCCGGCCTTGGCCGTGAGCTCGGTTCCTACGCTCTGGAGAACTACACCCAGGTCAAGACTGTACACTACCGCCTGGGCGATGCTCTGTTCTAAAATAATAATGGAAACAATAAATTAGTTCAGCGATTCAAGCCAACGAGATGATGATACATGATTGGAAATTTTCGTTTGTATATAAACCAAATTGAAGGGATGTGCTTGCTATTATTTCCGATGCCGTAAAATTTTAAACACGGTAATTTGAGAGCAGGCGTCAGAATCAAGGCCAATGTCCACAGGTGTAGCTTGGCTAGTCTAATGATACAAGTTTAAATTACCGATAAATCCGTTGTTCAGTCTCCAGGTTATCCCCGGTAAGATTAGGCCACGGCCACTATCGCGGGTCATTGTATACCGCTCGGTACATCTCCCCCCGAGAGGCTCGGTGATTACAACAATCGACTCCGGGCTAAGCTCGGGATTCTCGGCAGGATTCTATGTACATGTTGCTCTATAAGTACATATAAATTTGGTATGTACTATGTATTCATGGTTTCACTATGTAGACTAGCTCAAATGTACAAACATCTCGATCAGCAAAAGCCAAGCTAAATGACAAAAATATGACCAATGACTGGCTCCTTATTTCCAAAAAGTTACCTTCACATTATGCGCCAACTGCACCGATCGTAATCCCGTTCGGCAGCTCCAGTCCGATGGGAAGTCCGCACAGGAACTTGTCGGTATAAGTTGTCCCGCGCTTGATGGCGAGTTTCTCTTCGATGTCTCTGTGCATGTTGTAGCTAGTCGTTGTCAGTATTGCCCAAACTCTCACGTCTGTCAAACTCACGCATTCATCTCCTCTATAGTCAAAACCTTCTTCGTGTCTTCGACTTTGTATGTGGGGATATCTTTGTTGACAGAGAAACCTATGCAGTGGTCAGAAAACAATACATTGCAACACTTTTGACCAAAAGTCACTCACCAATCCGTTCGTTGATATTATAAGCCGCCTTGGCTGCTGCTGCCTGCACCCTTGTGACACGAGGTAGACGTACCTCCTCGTAAACAGCGAGGGCTTGGGCGATATCCCCAGAGAAATAACGCTTATCAAATAGGAGGCCAAGTGCTGCCGCGTCTTCGATAGCCATGCAGGCTCCTTGGCTTTGATGAGGCATCATCGGGTGTGCAGCGTCCCCCAAGAGACAGGTGTTACCACGTTGGATATACGGGTACGGGTCATGGACCCAGAGACGCCATGGCTTGATCTCAGTCCCAATCATCAGATGGTTGAACACTTGTCGGTCCAGTTCCGGGTATGGGGCCAGGAGCTCCTCGACAGGGCGATCCTCAGCGCCCCATGCCTGTGTTGAATAGTCACCTTGGTCACGCGAGAAGAAGCAGTAGTACGACAGAAGCTTGCCGCCATTACAAGGGGACAGAACAATCTTGTCCCATTTGCCTTCCTGTCCACCCCAGTACTCTAGTGCGCTATCGTCGGAGTAGTTGACCAGGCCGAGCCTGATGGCGTCCTCGGTTTTAACGTTGGTGTGTAAGCAGCTCTGGTCAGAGGGCCGCTTTTCTGGTGTGATACCAAGAATCCCACGAACGGCTGATCCGATTCCATCTGCACCGATGATTAGGTCGTGGGTTATCACCTCGCCGTTCTCGAAGACGACTGTACTCGTCTTCAGATCTATATCGCGGCACTGGATTCCCAGGCAGCATTAGCACATGCTCGGTTTTAGTCGGTGTCTAGTGATAAACTTACTCGGTAGTTCACTTTGAGAGTCGCCGGTGCTCCTTCACCCTCGCCCAGCGCCGACTCCTTGAGCATGGCATGCATGTACTGGCGATGGAACATGTTGTAGGCATATCCCCAGCGCTTCTCATAATCGTCGAGGTCGTACACACTAACGGGTTCTCCCGTCTTCCAGTCGCGGTTGATAAGCTTCTTCAAAATCACAGGGTCACCCTTGGCGACATCCACCTTCCACTCGTGTAACCAGCGGGTTCCATTGGCAGCGCACGAAACCGAAGCGCCGACTTCACCTGCATAGTCCGACTTTTCATAGATGGTCACGGTGTGTCCTGCACGACGCAAGGCAACTGCAGTGGACATGCCACCAATACCCCCGCCGATAACGCCTACATTGAGACTCCTCCAGCCTGACATAGTGTATGTAGATAGACTGCAAATTGAGATTATGAGACTGGATCGAGCAAGAATATCAAGGGAAATATATAACATCTATTAATCTGTCTCTATAAATCTTCATACATCGGCTGGCGGATGATGCACTCGGGTGGCGGGCCGCGCACTGGCGCTTATCGCCGGGTTTATCAAATGTATACTTCAGGGAGGCGAACTAATCAAACTAATCATCATCGGGGGGGACTTGATCTCATTCGTTACTTTTTTTTTGAAAAAAAAGTTGAATGGCTTCTCATAATAGAATAACCGGAAATAAATGAAAAACATGAAACATAACAGTGAGGATTCGTCGATGATATGGAATTCATTGTGGAATGCGCATATGATTAATGGCAGAAGCTGAATAAAACTAACTAACGTATTTCACAAGCGAGTGACGCACATAAGCGAGTGACGCACCCCAACCAAAACGCGTCCATGATTTAGCACTTAATCATTTCAAACCCCCACCATGCCACCAATTCGCTCTCAAAGCTGTCAAAATTCAACACAGCAAGAGGGTAGGATATTATTAGCTATCAAGGCTTTTAAAAATCAAGAATTCGCCTCTATTCGTGGAGCAGCACGCTGTTTTCAAGTGCCTGAGGCCACCCTCCGTCGACGCCTCCGAGGGGTTGAAAGTCGCGCGACTTCACGCGCAAACTCCCATAAATTGACATCAATTGAAGAGGAATCTCTTCAAAAATGGATCGTCTCTATGGACTCTCGTGGAGCAGCTCCCCGCCCTACTACTGTACGAGAAATGGCGAATCTTTTACTTCAACAACGTGGTATAACCCCAGCTCCTTCGGTCGGCGAAAATTGGGTTATAAACTTCATTAAACGATATCCTCTCCTCTCCTCCCGATTCACGAAACGATATAATTTCGAACGTGTAAAGTGCGAAGACCCAAAGATTATCTAAGAGTGGTTTAATCTTATTCAAAAAACCATCTTTTAATTTAGGATCGATCCTGAAGACGTTTATAACTTTAACGAGACTGGTTTCGCAATGGGATTAATCGCTACTACGAAGGTAGTTACAAGAGCTGAATTCTACGGTCAGCGCCCGCTTTTATAACCTGGAAATCGTGAATGGGTGACTGCTATTAAGTGTATAAATTCAGCGGGGTGGGCCCTCCCTCCGTGTATCATTTTTAAAGGCAAAGTCTACTTAGAATCATGGTTTGAAGGCCTACTAAACGACTGGCGAATTGAAGTTAGTCCTAATGGTTAGACTTCAGATAAAATAGGAGTTCGCTGGCTTAAAAAGCTCTTTATTCCTAGCACTTCTCTTCGTACGAAGGGAAGGTATAGGCTGCTAGTTCTTGACGGACACGGGAGTCATTTAACCCCAAAATTCGATGAACTTTACGAGCAAAATAGGATAATACCTATTTATATGCCTCCGCACTCCTCTCATCTTTTACAGCCTCTCGATATTAGCTGTTTTGCTGTGTTAAAACGATCATACGGGCGGCTGGTGGAGACAAAAATGAGGCTCTAAGTGAATCATATTGATAAACTTGACTTCCTCGAAGCATACCCCCTCGCACGAATTAAAGCTTTTAAATCGGAAACTATCAAGAATAGCTTCGGAGCAGCTGGTTTAGTCCCTTTTTCACCAGAAAGAGTGATCTCGAAGCTGAATATTTAACTTCGAACCCTAACACCCCCCCCCTAGCAGGGGGAGCGATTCAAGCCGGAATTTCACACTAAAAACACCTACTACAGAGAAAGAACTACGTCGACAGGCTTCGTCAATCAAAGCTTTACTTCGTACGAGGTCTCGAAGCCCGCCTAGCCCGTCAGATCGTGCATTAAACCAGCTTATAAAAGGCTTCCGTCTTACAATGCAAGGTGCTATTTTTTTAGCGAAGGAAAACAAGGAATTACGCGCTGAAAACGAGAAGCAGAAGCAAAAGCGGACTAGATCTCGAAGGCCGATCACTTCTGAAGAGGGATTTTCAATTGAAGAAGCTTCTGCATTAATTATGCAGCAACAGGAAGCAAGTGAAGCAAACCCCCCCGGCCCTAGCACCTCTAGAGAATCGGGTATTCAGCCACGTACTCGGCCCCCCCGGGGGTGTGGAATATGCAGATTGCCAGGGCATCGAAGGGAAACATGTCCAAATAGACCACTTAATTAGTTGAGCTGATTTAATGACATTTTTGTTGATATAAAAGAAGTTGAAATCAGTAGGCTGGTTGGGGTGCGTCACTCGCTTGTGTGCGTCACTCGCTTGTGAAATACGTTAGTTAGTTATAGTTAGAGCTGACGAGCCCTGGCGTAATTTCTTATATAACCATATGCTTTCTGATGGATGATCATCCTGAGGTTCAACTTCCACCATGGATGCCCAGATCATATGGATTACTAATTTACACTGGGTCATCAATAGTTAACACGTCAGGTGACACCATCCTTGGACTGTTTTTTCTTTATTTTGATCTAACTACGTCATGTCATGTTACTAACAATCCTGTGGTCCAGCCCTTATCGCTTCAGCCATCCAGCGACCTACATCTCTAGTACAGTGAGGATAAACAGCATAGCACCTTGTCCTTCCGCCAAAATCGACCTTTGGTACCTACAGTGACCTTCAATATCACCTCACTGCTGCCAATCTCTAGTCCCCAAACTGAATCGTCTGCTTCACACAAAACTCAGATTCAAAGGGAAATGCCTATATCTAGAGCCGATCGTTCTTGCGAAAACCAGACAAATCAAACAACTCCCTCCCAATCCAAAACACAGCGACCGCAGAAACGCCAGCGTGAGCCAAAGCCGACCCCATCGTTAGCCAAAAAACGCGGAAAACTGCGAGATGCTCTTGAAACCCCATTAAGTGGAGAACCAGAAGATGTTCGTTGGATATTGATTAACCTCCATCAAACTTTGGTGTGCAATAACCCAACTGCTGACTCTGCAACAGCGCCGTCGTATGCAGATTCGCCTAGCGCAAAGGGCGTATCGCTCTCGTCAGCAGGCAACAATTACAGACCTCAACAACCGCGTTTCCCAGCTGGAGACCATCGTAGATCAGATGAGCCTTACTGTTCTGTCATTCAGCGACCAGATAGTTCAATCTGGGGTACTGGAGTCATACTCCGACCTGACAGCACATTTACATGATACGATGAAGACCTTTATTTCTTTGGCATCCGAAGCAAGCCCCGGCCACGAGACACAGGTTCCTGATGTCCCCTCCCACAGTGAAGACTTGCCCCAGCCTTCATCTCCCGACCCAATACCGGCCCCGTCACCTAACATCCCTCTCCCTTCGCCCCCGAATCACAGCGGATCAGATCATTTCACCAGTGACGCCTTCTCACATACCTTCCAATCAACAGGCGTCCCGGTCATAGAATTGCCTGAATTTATTAAAAGACTGAATTTGGCATGTCTCTACCAGGGGAACTTGGCTCTATGCGACCAGTCCATCGGTTTAGATCGTCTTCAAAGGCCGTTCGGGTTCCTTTTCACCATGATGAACCGGGAGCGCCTCACAACTTACTTTAAAGCGAGATTAGATGCCGAAGTAAGCCAGAAACCGTTAGATGGGTGGGAGGAAGTTCCCTTCTTCAGCTTGGGTAGTGCAGGAACCCACTATCCCCGACTCTTAATGCAGAGCCAGGCCGCAGGCCACTCTTTCCGCGGTTATCATGAATGGGATACGGTTCAGGATCCCTTGTCGCTTGTCTCGCCAGATATTCAAGAGCAGCTAAGAGGGAATTGGTTTGACTTGCAAGACCTTGAGGGATTCCTCCGGGAGAAGGACGTGAATCTGCTTTTGGGCTCTGAGAAGCCAAACCAAGTCTCACCAACGAAGACCGCTATCAACATCGCACGTCTGGTACCAGGTAAATATGTACTCTACTTTGGGACCTTACAGATTTTCTGACTTTGATAGAACTAATAAGCAGGGGAATCTGCTTAGGTCGCACGCCTGGATTTCAATGCGATGATGTAGAAAAGGCCTTGCAGCATGCAGAAATCTCATAAAGGTTTAGCAACTGATACGTATACACATATTATGCGGGATATAGTAACGAGTACTAGTACAAGTATGCCTAGGACTTTATTATATAATTCATCATTGTCATCCATGAGTCCATTCCAAGGTTAAAGATCTGGCGCAGAAGTCGCCAGCCTCTTGGACAGCCAGTGAATCTGGTTCGCATTGAAGCACCTAAGAATCAAAAAGACTATTTCATGGTGTGTTTATACCCCTAAAGCGTTATTAAGCGGACCCACAGATAAATTGCAACGCCTTTGATTAGTTGTCACATTGTTCTCTGAGATTAGTGATCGATTCCGAGCAGAATGATAAGCAGATAGATCTTGCCAAGGCGAACGGCTTCGGACGATCTATAATTCAGGACGTTTCCCCGGCATGATGTAGCTTTCGAGTTTCAACTGTAAACGTGGTTCGAATTAACTAATCAACCCGTGTCCCGATAAAGCCGGACGCTAATTTTCGATATTATCATCATATCCAATTCTTCCTATTAACGGGGGCAAATAATTAATAATCAATTTACTCTTATGCTATAAAGATCCATCATCTCCTGCTTGAAGTATCCTTACCCAAATACTAGTACGTTATGTCTGGCCCCTTGATTTTCATAACCGGTGCTACCGGTTTTATTGGTAGCGCCACCGCAGTCGAAGCTCTCAAGGCCGGATATCGACTTCGAATTGGCGTTCGCAAGAACTCAGACAAGCTCGAAGCGATACTATCAAACTATCGTGAACAACTGGAATTCGTCACCATCCCAGATCTCACCGAGGAGGCTGCTTTTCGAGGCAAGCTTGATGGGGTAGACTATGTCCTCCATTTAGCATCACCACTTGCCCATGGTACCGACAAGGAAGCTTTCTTTGGCCCCGCAGTGAAAGGAACCTTGGCTGTGCTCAAAGAGGCAGCTAAGGTGCCAAGCATAAAGAAGGTTGTGGTAACTTCATCTATCGCTTCCTTGATTCCTCTTGTTGGAATACCCAGTGGTGGTGTCATCAAAGGTAGGTTCAATGCACATGGTACCAGATTGCTATTGTTACGAAGACTGGCAATGTGCTGACATCGGCCTCAGAGGATACTGATTGGGATCTCACTGTGAACCCAGAAGCCGATTTCGTCGATCCTAATGACCCTACTGCAACACCGATGACTTTGTACCGTGCGTCCAAACTACTTGCAAACAACGCGACATGGAACTTCTGGAAGACTGAAAAGCCGCATTACTCGCTGGTGACTCTTCATCCGTCGTTTGTCTTCGGGCACAATCTCGTACAAAACTCCGCCGAGGAAGTCCAAGCAGGGAGTAATGGTATTCTCTGGGGTAGCGTGATGGGAGGTGTTCCACTTACGGCCATAACGGGTGTGCACGTCCAAGATGTTGCTGAAGCCCATATTAAGGCGTTGGACCCGAAGATCAAAGACGGCTCGAAATATCTGATCTCTGGACCGCAAACAACATGGAAAGATATTGCTCGTATTGTGCACAAGGCTTACCCCAATGTTGGTGCGAAGATTACGGAGCAGGCTGAAGGTGCTTCCCTGCCCACCGATACCACCAAGGCCGAATCAGAGCTTGGAATGCATTGGCGATCTTGGGAGGAGGTGGTGCGGAGCGTGATGGATCAGCAGCTGGGCTTTCTTAAAGCCTGAGTCGAAAAGACTGTTTGTGCCTTCGGAGATCGATATTTAATTCGTGCTATGAGCATACCGCATATCGCGGGCGAGAGTGTGTATGAAACGAGACATCGAAACAAGGCAGGAAAGTTGGAGGCAAGAATCAGCCAGAAAGCATTAGCCACACGTACTTATTTTACGGCCAACTTTTTCTAATTCAAAGCAATATAAATTCCACCTCATATTCAGTCATATTACCGGAAGATAATAGTGAGGAATACGGCGCCCGAAGCCTTTTATGCGACCAATTTCGGCTTTGGTGCGTAATAGACTACTATTCTCAAAGGCGGCTCTCAAAAGTAGTTAGGCGGATATGAAATTACAATTCGCCTTATAAAGTAGCTAGAATAGCTTGATATAAAGTATTACAAGAGAAAAGATCGAGGCTTTTCGGCTTTGTCGGGGTCGAGATTAACGTGAGGGCATTAGAATTGGTTTAGACGCCTAAAATTGGGTGGATTTCGAGATTTGTACAGTGGAAATTCAACTGCATTTACAAAACACAATTTAGATTCCCGAACGCAGTCTAAAAATTAAGTCAAGCAAGTGCCAATTGTAATCATATGTCTATAAAAACTCGGCATCCAACCTTTGGCCACTACTACTCTATTTCATTCAGGGTGTACCTCGCAAGTTCATGATTCGTGAACAAGCCGCGGAACAAAGCTCCTTACTGTCACTTAAATGAAGAAATTCCATAGGCTACTTCAATTCAGGGCACCGGCACAATAATTGTGCCGCTTGCTCCACAATAGCTTTACTAGAAGTATTGACGGCTTATTAATCGACCTTCCAATGCGGCAGCGCTTCGGGTGATCTTTGCGCTGCAGTTGAGATGGTATATCTCGACATTACCAAAACGCACGATGTAGACCAAGAATTTTGCAGTCTCAGTGTCTCTTGATTCAACTTTGTATTTCAGAAAATTGCATACTTTCCTCGGAGTGGGTAAGATATACGTAGCGGTAATTACTGTTCCTACACGCACAGTTCTCTTATAGTGTCTCTGAACTCGAATCTCATTTTACATATAGCGCTATACTAAGATACTAAGCTGGAAAATCCACTACTAACTTGCCTCCGGCTACAGCGCCTGCTCGTAGTTTGTTCAATCCATCTAAAATACCCTCAAATCCTTCCTTTTGCTTGACAGTAGGAATCGGTTTCAAGATGTGTGTGATAGTTGGAAGGTCCTTGTAAAAACGGACAAGAGCTTCGCGGTCGGCTGGTTTGGCCTCGAACTTTGGGCCAACTGGGGGTAACCACTGGAAAGCGTGGCCAAACACCGTATACGTCATCACCAGGTCGTATGTCACTCCCGGAACGCTTGGCTTGCCGTTGGGCAACAGAGTGATCACCGTACCGCCAGTGTTTCTCAGTACCTCTGCACAAATAGAAGTAGATTTTCCCTCGGAGAAACAATCAACGGCTTTCGAGATCTTAGGATACGCCTTGACAACATCTGCTGCGACGGTTGCCGACCTGTAGTCAAACACTGCAGTGGCGCCGTACGCCTTGACAAGGTCAAATGAACGGGGCGAGGCCGTTGTAACAACTCTATACCCAGCTGCCTTTGCAACCTGGATATGAAATAGTCCAGCGCTGGTGGCTCCAGCATAGATGAAGATCGTTTCATCTCTGGGGGCTGCCTCATCACCGCCGACAAAGGGGAGACCATGACGGACATTGAGGGTCAACATGGCTGTCACGGCTGAGACGCCGTACGTGGTGGCATCCGTGTCGCTTATTTCATCGGGAATCTTCCAAGCCAAATCCGAGTCGACTTTCAAGTACTCGGCGAAAGCGCCCTTGTCAGGATAAAGGCCACCGTGCACGGCGCCCGCCACGCGATCGCCGGGTTTCCATCCCGACTTGACGGCGCTGCCGACCTGTTGAACCACGCCGGCATAGTCGCAGCCTATGATGGAATGAGGAGGAGAAATGACGTCGAGGTGCTTGAAATCCGTTGGATTCAACGCGACTGCCTTGACTTTGACCAGAATCTCGTCGGGCGAGATTGTAGGAATGGGAACATCGTCCTTAACCAGTCCACCTTGGCCACCGACTGATTTGCTACAGACAAAGTTGATCAATCTGGTAGCAATACTGCGATTGGAAACAAGAGCCTTCATGATGTGCCGAATGCGTGATGGTCAAAAGGGTACGGTGAAGGATAGTAGGTTCCTTGGTACTTATGGAAAGGGTCAACTGGTTGCCAGGGGGGCAAAGGACGGGAAACTTTAAGAACAACTGTGGCGACAGTGATCTGCAATATGAATGGAGCAACTATCTTGCCGACTGGTAAAGTTCGAGTCGCTGCGCATGACATATTAGACTTGGGAGGTTCGGAGTTGGGACAACTCGGCTTGATCACTAATCCATGGATAGTTCCAAGGTTAGGAAGGGACAATTTTAATAATCAGCTCATCTTGTGATGGTACATATCTTGCGCTGCTCGTAATTGACACTCGAAACGTATACACAAGCGGTGTGCTCTCTCAATATGTCGGACTCAAAGCAGAGGTCAATTCTGATCACCGGGTGCGCCAAGACATATCCACTCCCATACTCCCCCAGCCTAACCTACTTCACCAGATGTTCCCAAGGGGGTGCCGGTAACGCCCTAGCCCTACAATTTGCCTCCAAGGGGTTCCGCGTCTTTGCGACCGCTAGATCGCTGAAGACTTTGACCAACCTACAAGCGAACGATATCGAAACTCTCACTCTCGATGTCACGGACGCAACAAGTATCAAGGCTCTAGCGGCGGAAATTTCTCGTCGTACAGGAGGTTCCTTGGACATACTATTCAACAATGCGGGCACTCGTGGGTTATGTCCAGCTTGATCGACTGCGAGTTTTACAGGAATTAATGCTCCTTGCCTCCTAGTTTATGAAGCACCCGCCATCGAGGCAGATCCTGCCCGCGTGCGTGCACTCTTCAACACCAACGTTTTTGGCCTCATGGAAGTGACTACTGCCTTCACCCCTCTCCTACTCGCCGGAATGAGTGCAGGCTTCTCGCCGATAATAGTTAACGTCGCCTCCGTCCTAGCGCGCCTCCCGAATCCATTCGCTTCCGCTTATAATGCTAGTAAAGCGGCTGTAGCATCCTACTCGGACACTCTTCGACTCGAGTTGCAGCCGCTTGGCATTAAAGTCAGAACCTTATACATGGGAGAAGTTTCGACTCCCTTGATGGCGGCGGACAATATTAACTTTGGCCCGGAGAGTATCTATCGCGTGGTGGAGGATTCTGTAAAGGCGAGAACAACTACTCACCTTGAAAAGACGATGGCGCCGGCCCAGTTCGCCCGGGAAGTTGTGGACGAAGTTATCAATGGAAAGAGCACCTCGATTTGGAAAGGTACTAATGCCTTTACGGTTTGGTTTTTGAACGCTGTGGGGCCAAGGAATGTATTCGACAGTACTTTGTTGAAGGGGGCTGGACTAGACAAGGAAGCGGCCAGGTCGAGTATTTTCAAGCGTGGCCAAGAAAAAGCTGAAGAACGCGTGAGGAAAGGGTCAAACGTTTAGCCGGTAGGGTGAATTGCCGGTATCGAACTGCTCATGAGCTTCGGCGACGACATAGCGGCTAGGGACACTTTCACCAAGGAATGGGTCATGCACAAGGCTCATATTTCAGGTATCAGAATGACTCGTCGCGTTTTTGGCTAACGTTACTCTTTTTTTATGCCCATTGTTATGCCCATTGTTGGATTCACTTTCATATTAGTAGTTCGGCCCCCGAATTAGATAGCGCACTTGGTCGTCGACATACCGAACATTCAATACTAGACCGGCAACATGGTGAAAGCGGCCGTTCAAGATGGATAACGCCTCTTCCAGTCTCAACCCACCCGGTGTCCCACTCTATTGACGTCTCAATAGACGCAGGCATGGAAGACTTTGCGGTAATCCCAACTCTCCTTGGTCAAAAGCCGAGCATGTATTGTATAGGTTCCGACTGTGTGAAAAGTCTGATCAAATTACTATGAAACTCTCTGGCTAGCAATAAGGTATTTGGACTCGGTAGCCGTCTTACCAGCCCAAGCGGAGTTCATTATCGATCTCAGTATGGCTTGTTAGTTAATAGGGAACGAGCGAACGCAAAATTGGTCTCACTCAGCCAGACGGAAGTTACTCAATTTCCCCCTATCGATTATAAAAATGTATCTGCAATCCTGTTTCCCTCGCACATCCCAGATCTACGCATTTTTCCATATAATTATTCTGCCCCATAGACTAACTTGTCCACTGCACATAGTATTTCAGTGGAAGCCTAAAGGTCAAATGCTCATATGTTTTGTTTTTGATTTTTCTTCTCTTTTTCTTTGAAGATGAGATCTTAGAAGTCAAGAACCTATGGCACGATCTTGGTCCCGAGCAAAGCTATACAGCGAATCCAAAGAAACCGACTTTCAGGGGCTTCAGTTCTGTTAAAACTGGGACTGTTCGTGATCCTGAGATCTTTCCGCAACCACTCAATTTCTTCGAAGGTACCCATCGAGACGGTGCGGAGCCTATTTCGATTGCTAAGCACATGGGTGAGATATGAGGATAATTTGTTATCCTGGATTCTCTCTCGCAAAATACTGTTACTGCTTATTTATAACCATGATACCCCGATATCAGTCTATACTTATCGCGAGATCCCCCCGGGAGGCATCTTTCGCTCTATAGGGTGAAATGGTCATTACAAACCAATATACTAGATGTAAGCACGCGAAGAATTAACGCAGAATATTACCAGGCACATTTGCATCCTAAGTTGTGTGAGGTCATAAACTAGACCCAAATGAATGTTTTGTATCAGTTCTCGAGTACATACGTAGTTCCTAGCTCTATTTGCACTACCCATATAGATATACTGGCAGGTACCATTGCCTTTGGCAAGAAGGAAGCAATATAATATTAGAATAGAACCGTTTTAATACAGTTCAAGTCCTTACAGTTCAAGTTACTTGATCAAGCCACCCCAAGCAAAATCTTCCGCTGCCCGTTACGGTTGCGGCGAGTCCGACTCTGTACCTTCGATTTCCTCACTCCCGTCGCTCACACACTCGACTTATATCGCTCTCTATAACCCTGTAGGGTGGTCATTTATTTGTGCATTAATTGATTATGTTCATGTTCAAGAAAAAGAAAAGAGAAAAGTCACAAGGAGAACGTATAAAGGCTATGCTATTACACAGTTAAGCCAAGTGTCAGCCGTCAAATGCAGGGTCTGACCGCGTCACTCTAGATTGTCTGACAATGGGATATAACTATCCAACTGTATCCCTCGCGCTTCCAACAATCTTCTCCCTAGAATCATCAAAAAATGAGATTGAATATCCTACCGGCCAGTATGACTTTAGCCTTGCAAGCCATGGCTGCACTTGCCCAGTTGGGGCTGCAAAAGCGCTATCCAACAGGATCCTTCTCCATTCTGGCCTACGGTGTCGCCTCGGAGGGAATGAATGTTTTTTATTCCGATGGTAACTATAATTTCCCACATGAGTCTTATCCCCATTTGACCCGATACCTAGGACTCGCATATGTCGGAGACTCTTCCCAGTGGGTGTCTGGATCGGTGACAACCGACGTTAAATGTAGGATCTATATGCCTTTTTTTGTTTAACATCGTTTCAATTTGTTTTCGTCCTCTTAATCATAACAACAGCTAATCCTCTATTAGTCGTCTTCGATAACTCCCGAATCATCGCCACGGCCTCTAACAAGGATTACACCTTTGACGCTGACACGTTCCTCTACATTCGTCCCACACCCAATCAGGTGCTACCTGTGGGTTTCACTGGGAACGATGTCGATACACCGGACGATGCGAAGGTAGATCAATTTCTTTTCTACGGCAGGTATCTCATGTGGCAGAATGAGAATGGACTCCTGTACGATTCGTTTCGTCTGAAGGAGACAGATGTTGGCGATATTTATCAGCTCTACTGGGACACTTCCAATCTTTACCCCCCGGCTTCTTGATTCCGACTGTGAAGTCCTCTGTTTAGATGAAAGCCAGTCTACACCTCGCATTTCTTCATTTTGGGAGCCCAGATTGTCATGTAGTCCTGTCAAACATTATGGTTAACAAATCTTAGTAAATTACATATCTGATAAGGTTATATACCTAGGTCATACAGGGACTCTATATCAGATTGTAGTCGATTCGGCGAGAAATGGGAAACTATCCCATAGCGGCAAATCCATACCTTCCCAGTCAAACAAAGCCCCATCAACCACGGGGGATGTGACAGTAGTGGCAGCGCCATCCAAATGCAACCACGGGTATGATGTGACGCTCTGCGATTGAAGTGGGGTCGCATTTCTCACTTCTTCGTCGTCCCCTTCAGTTTGTGTCTGTGGTGTTGCCGGGGTGTCGTTCAAGCTAAATATCCGGCTAACGTATTGACTCCTTCGCTGGCGGGCTTGGGCCGCAAGTCGCTGGCGCTGTTCACTTATAGCTGACTCTAACATCGTTATAATCTCGAGGTAGTGAGCTGCCTGGGCAGACTGCAACGCCAGCATGCGCAAAATTGTCAGAGCGCCGCGGAATACACCATCAATCTCAGAATCCACATCACTGCGAGAGAACATAGAGAACCCAAGCACAAGGGCTGCGGCAAAGATAAAAGCTCTGTTTGATGTTAGTATTGGAGTCACTAGATGGGGATTTGTGACAGACGAACTTGAGAATACACATATTCCGAAGAAGAAGGCCGGACTTATGCACCTCTAGACATGTTTGCAGCATGTATACAGCAGAATCAGTACATGCCGCTGCGAGCCGAGAGTGGGCTGGATCCTCCTCGGGCACCTTCTCGCTGAGATCACCGACCGAGAGGCTGTGGTGTAGCCGGGCCAGCCGGACACTTAAGGCCGAGATAAGGAAAGGTCGAGTGACTAAAATCACTGCAAAATGATATGAGCATGCAACGTGCATGCTTCCAATTGTATGCTCCCGGAAAGTGCTCTGATCTTTGTGTCCCGAAGACGACGTCCTTAATGATCGCGGCAGATATTCACTCCATGTGTTTAATTTGCATAAGAGCTGGTCCGCTTTCTCTGCGGATGCAGACTTTTCACTGTAGAGACAGATTATTATTTCGTCCAGGATCAACGATAACTGATATGAAGCCACCAGCCCAGGATCGGTCGGTGTCGCCCCAATCCAACTAGGCTCTTGTCTGTTCTCGGGCAATAGAGGCGATATAGCAGAAGGTCTCCCGAGGATTGAACTGACAAGCAAATCGAGAATACATAAGCTCATCCATAATCGTAATCTATTGGGAATCAGCTAGGCCAAGTAGATCTTGAGAGAAGCTTTTACCGTTCATTGTTCCCAGCACTTTCATCGAGGCTTATTGACCCTAGAGAGTCTGCATGAAGCCCCAGCGCTACTGCCGCTCGCGACGCCACTCCTAGGTACATGAATGCCGTGTTTCGACGGCACGCCCCCAGCATATAGAAGGACATGAGTAGAAATACTCGCATTAAATCCATGCTAGGATCTTCTAACATGTTAGCAAATGCCCTACTTTGGCCGCGAGCAAAGTAGAACCGCTCCACCTGGAGGTTCTTTGGGTCATTTGGGTAGGATTGTGCTCCAATGGCAACCATGAGGTCTATGATAGCCGCCCTAGTCTTTTCCTGGTCGGTTTTGGGCTCTACTGTGCCAACCAACGAAGAGGAAATGTCATCACTAGAGCTCAAACCAAAAAATCCGCTCGTCTTGAATATTGTCAGTGATTTATCCACCCTTCATTGGTCTGGCATCCATCCTACCGCTGCGTGATAGCTCTGGATAAATCGGCTCCTCTCATCAAAGGTGCAACATTCTTGGGAGAAGTTCAACAGATCATGATGAGCTTCTGCCTCTAGCATGTCCTCACTCCCACCATTATGAGAGAACTGCGAGGGCCCGATATGTTGGGTCACTGTATCTCGAAGCAATTGTAGAAATGACAGGGAGGCAGCTTTTCCAACGTATACTGCAGACAGAGTCAACCAAACGAGGTCTTTGAGGGTCAAAAGATCTCATACCTCGTTCTCCTTGCAGGTTGCGGAGCATGCGTGGATGTGTCCGATGTGTAACTTCAGGGGAGTGCGAACCCTCCAGCGCGTCAAACTCGGGATTGGGTGTACCAATGTCATGAGACTGTGAGATCAAGGGGGTTTGCAAATCGATCCCCATTCCCCTTGGTGTCTGAGGTGACTCAACTGTGGGTTGAGAGGGAGGCATAGGACGGCTGCGGAGGCCTACATTTGGTAGGGGTTTAAATGGGGTGCATGAGCGGCCACGTCCTTTGTGAGTACAGTTGGTGCATGGGAAATAACCACTGCAGCGCTTTTTAGACGCACGACAGGCAGTGCATGCAGTGTTTGCTCGCAGCCGATTCGCTGGATGGACCTTGGGACGTGGCATATTTGAAGAGTCTACAAGTCTGGGGTTGGATGAGATCGATCCCCGCATACCACCATAACCTTGGATAAGAGATAAGAGATAAGAGATAAGGGATAAGGGTGCGCGGCCCGACGTAGTTCGGAAGAGGGACGCGACGACTGAAGATAAGTAGTTATAAGATGAAAGCTTCTAGTATTGCATACTTTATATGTGTGATCCATTGGAAAGAAATTGAACATATACTAAAAGTATCACACATTATTTATTCCATTTTTAGTACGGGGACTTTCTATGTACACTACCAGATGATAATATATGTACCCATTCATGTAAAACTGACTAAGATACTTAAAGTAGTATCGGTGAACAGAACTGGGTTGCCCAAATTGGCCTTCAACTTGACACATAGAAATAAAGAATCAAGTAATGAAAACTGATATAGACTCTATATAGGACCAGTAGAACACAGCAAGTTGAAAATTTTATATGGGATCCGCCGTGAGTAAGCGGGTTGACAGGGTGATTGGACAAAGCATCAGTTAATGCCCCACTGGGGAAAGCCAAACTAAGCAAACTAGACAAACTAGACAAACAAGGCCATTCTCGCTTAGCACTAGCGTGACTGTCAAAGAATATAAATAAGGCCAGCTCCCCGGACCTTCTTTTGTTTTTCAAGCGACTCTACGTATGTTCTCCCTCCCCCTACAGCTTCCAAACTGTATCGGAACATTTTACTGACCATTTCCCAACAGTTCAAAGAATCACTTTAGAGTAGACGTCCCCTTTCTAAACTCTTTAAAAGAGCCACAGAATCTCCACCCTTGCTGATGACTACATGTCCTCGATGCCCTAAAGTGAAACCTTTTTACTCCCGCCTCGACTGTCACGCGTGCTGTTCGCAGTGTCTGTGTTTCGGTCCAGGGAGTGGTGATGATCTTGACCTGGTCTCGGCGTCTGACTTCGGTCGGTCGGTCCTGGTGGGTGTCGAGGAGGTCTGAAAGGTCCTCTTCCACTTTTGCTGGAATGGAGAATTGCGAGTTTTATGCAGATAGAAATCGAAATTATTATTACCTCAATTGGCTCTTTCTGCTCTGAATTTGTTCGTATTGTCAAGAAGTAGCATAGACATAATTCAATTGTCCAATGTACGAGATATCTGCAAGAAGTGTCTAATTATGGAGGTTAGTTTGGACGGACTTTTGTATGTTTCACCTGGGCAGCTGTGTCCTGACCGAGCTGAATCATTTGAATATCGCACTCATACTCTGTGGTTTAAGGAGCTAGTCATAGTAGTATAAATCCATTATGGCGGCCATCATGCAGTAGTTATTGGTAAAATCTGTCATGCCTTCGGGTATCATGTCTCGTGAACTGCGAAAGAACTCAATATGTAGGCTCTCATTTCGCCTCGGTGCTTCCAGCTTTCTCCGAAGCTCCAGCGCTCCCCTTGGGTCCTTTATTCCGTGATCCACGTCCTCCACGAGATCCGCGAGAGGAGCCAGCATTACCTCCAACATTGCCGCCAGCCCCTGAAGCGCTTCCAGCGCCTTCGGTAGGAGCCTTGGTCTTATTGGCCGTGAAACCCTCGCGGCCTTTCCGCGACTTGTCAATCCCCGGATTCTCTTTGCGCTCCAACACCACAACTTGACTCTGGGCTACCGACACGGGACTCGCAGCGATGGCCTTGCGAAGTGCTTCCGGTTCAGCAAAATCTACGTAGCCGAATCCTTTCTTCTTGTCAATCTCGACCTTGGTCACTGTTCCGAATGGGGTGAATGCAGACTCCAGGAGCGCCTCGGTCACACCCTGAGATGGGTTGGCGTGCTTGAGGAATGCTTGTTTAGCAGTTGATGGGTGCTTTGCTTTGCCGCCTTTAGTAGTCTTGGCTGGTAGGGTTGCAGGGGGCGCAGCAGGATCAGGTCGCGAGGATGACTCGCCGTCCTTGGGCTTTGGAGTATTGGCTGTGGATGGTGCAGTTTTGGGAGGCCTGGTGGTCTCTTTCTTGGGCAGAGCGGTTGATGGAACACCCGAGTCCCGAGAGCTCTCGCTCTTGGGCGCAGTATCAGTCGAACCACCTTTGCCGCGTCGTCGCCCACCAGAGGTCGAGAGTCCAAGATCACGCTGAAGGATCTTGGTGGCTACTGTGACGTTTCCGCGCTCTCGCTTCCGCTCTGGAGCTGCAGTTGTATCTTTTGTAGTGTTTGATGTGGTATTCGACTTGCTTCCCTTGGCATTGGCAGCGGCTCCTTGCTTCGTTGCTTTGACAGAGTCCTTGCTTGTTTTTTCTCCTTTGGGTTTCTTGTCGGAAGAGGTTGCGGCGGTTTCCTTATCGCCCCGCTGCAGAAGCTTTTTCGCTTGCACTTTCTCCTGCTTTGATTCCTTGTCCGATCGACCGTGCTTGGATTTGGATCCGCTGCTGTCCTTTAACTTGCTAGCTTTCTTGTCTTTGATGAACTGTACCAGCGGGGTGGTCACTACGGCTTCCTTCTTCTTGTCCTCCCCATCAACCGTGGAATCCATAGCCACGGGCCTGGTAATGGGCTGGGTCAGACTTTCCAAGAAAGCAATGAAGTCGGAATCTTGATCAATCGTGCCTTGACGAGCATCCTTGCGTGACCGGCTTCCGGGGGTCTTGGCATAAGGTGCAAACTCCAGCGATGGAGGTCCAAGTAGAATGGGGTCATGTAGAGTGTTACGAGCATCCTGGAAAGAAGCCTGGCGCACGACATCTGAAAGCGAAGAGACACATTCAGTGGATACAACGTGGATGTATGCTCTTGATGGGCGAGATGGCTTGTTCGGACTATGTGAAGAAGTCCAGTCAGTTCAATAGAAGATTGCGTCAGAGCGTGAGTCCTACTCTTTCGACACCTTGCCAGGTTTGTACTGAAGCCAGTCGACGTTTCCTGCCCCAGCCTTCCATTGCTCACCGAGAGCATTCTCCAGCTCAGCCTGTGTTAGCCCGGGTGGCAAGCGTCGGATCAGAAGTTTGAGACGTGGAGCGGGAGGCTTGGGCGTTTTCTTTGCGGGCGCTCCAGAGCCCGACTTTTGCGTAGCTGCTGCTGGAATAGGGAGCAGACCGGCGGTGGTCTTGCCAGGTGGCATCATGGTGAGCTTTTTCGATATAGAGGGCTGAAGCTATGTTTCTCTTTCCCAAAATGAAGTTATGGAAATCCCAAAGGATGTTAAACAACAGAGCCAGCCCACTTGTCCAAGTTGACAATCTACTGGGAGCATCCATCTACAGGGTTGAAGGTGGTATGATTGGACAAGAGGTCTCACCGCCTATGTGGTCAGTCAGCATCATGAGCACGTGCCTGCTAAGGTGCACGTGCACGTAGTCGCTGCCATCAATTATCAGCTCCAGGGCTCCAGGGCTTCATCCACCCGTGGACATTGACAATCGCTGAAAGACATGTATTGGCAAGACTAGTATGAAATCATTATAGCGCTATGTCATGGACGACCAGAATGAGAACTCGGCGGTTTCGACCTCGGGAGGTCGGCTCGGGCCTCCAGGGAGCCCTGTAGGTCATAACTCATAACTTTCTTATCGATAAGCATCTCCGCTCTCTTTGACCTCACAACACTCTAGACCTCCACAATGAGTGACGAGAAGAGCTCCATCCTGGAGAGCCAACGAGAGACGCCGAACTTGAGGCAGAAAAAACGTCCCTTCAATCTACTCTGGTTGTTTCTCTGTATCATTGTATCCACCGCCTGGTTCACTAGGTTGCACTCTCCCTTCCGCCCGCGGAGCATCGAGGAAAGGGTGCAGAAGATCCTGTCGCAGACTCCATTGATCGGTATGGAGATTGGAATAGTTCTGTGTGAACATTATGACTGATGGCCTGAAACAGACGGTCATGATGATCTTCCTATATTGGTCCGGGAACGCTTCCACAACCGTGTAAATGATCGCAACTTCACTGAGGCTTTTGTCAAGGGGAACTTTCCCGGTCATGTTGATATCCCCAGATTGAAACAAGGTAGAGTTGGTGGTACGTTTTGGAGTGTTTTCGTGCCCTGTCCCGAGAATGGGACCGATTTATCCGATGAGAATTATGCGCCAAGTAAGCGAACTTGACACGATGGCTGTTGTATAGTATACTCAAATTTCAATCATAGGTGTCCGTGAGACGATGGAGCAGGTGGATATTATGTCGAGGATTCAGCAAGCCTATCCCAAGGTCTTCTCGACTCCGCCAAATGGTACCACTGCCATGTCCGCTTTCCGCGAGGGAAAGATCATCTCACCGCTTGGTATCGAGGGCTTGCATTCGATCGGTAACTCGCTGGCCCACCTCCGGATCTTCTATGAGCTGGGGGTTTCGTACGCAACTCTGACGCATAATTGCCATAATCGGTATGCCGACGCTGCCATTCTCGAACTCCCAGGTGGCGGAATAAAAAAGTCCGATCCTCTTTGGCACGGTGTCAGTGAAGAAGGTCAGAAGCTGGTGTTTGAGATGAATCGCCTTGGGATGATCGTCGATTTAGCCCATGTCAGCACGGAGACCATGCGTGATGTGCTGGGTGCCGGCAAGTCCGAATGGGTAGGGAGCCGTGCTCCAGTGATTTACAGCCATAGCTCAGCATATGCACTCTGTCCCCACCCGCGCAACGTACCCGACGACATCTTGGAGCTGGTCCGTGAGAAGAACTCCCTGGTTATGGTTAATTTCGCACCAGACTTCATTTCCTGCACGGCTTCTGACCGCGCTGATGGGATCCCAGACGTGGACCCTGTCCATGCCACTCTGGAACGTGTTGCTGATCACATCCTGTACATCGGTAATTTTATAGGCTTCGAGCATGTCGGAATAGGTAGTGATTTTGATGGTATTCCGACGGTTCCTCGAGGATTGGAGGATGTATCCAAGTTCCCAAGTCTGGTAAAGGAGCTGTTGAAACGAGGGGTCAGTGATAAAGATGCAAGTAAGGTGGTAGGAGGCAATCTATTGAGAGTATGGAAGAAAGTGGATGAGGTGGCGCTCGAGATGCAAGCCGAGGGTGCATTGCCTGTGGAGGACTGATCCTTTGAGCACTTGGAATTCGTTTTATTATGAAATTCCCACAAGTGATACTACTCTGAGTGTCATAGTCTCTGAATTTGCAACCACAAAGCTTTGTGGGAGTTGTATGTCGTCAAAGCAAACCAACGTTGGAATATGGAGAAACTGCATATTGGAAAGTCCATCTTGAGCCGTTAACATAAGAGTTCATCTTGAAGCATTATAGGCTCGGATGCGCTCTGGATAGAATTCCTCGAACTCAATGCAGTAGAAGAAGCGAACCATAGCTCTGTTATCATGTAACAGAAAATAACCATCTGCTCCCAGCTACCCTTTGCATCTGGATATCCGTGTTGATATCTGCCAGTAGTCACATGACCGCTCTTCATAGTAGTAGTAGAGTCGTAGTCTCTCCATTCCTCCCCTCTTCATAGTTTCAGACCACACACAATAAACATGTTGTGCTTTTATGATCTCATCAATTAGATCGTAGATTCTAACGATCCGGAAAGTGGCCCTCGGTGATCGGAACAAGGCCAAAACGTCCGTTCCGGACTGAGGAATTCTGATCTATGTATGTAGGTAGATATAGTTTACTAGCACGGCCCTTCCAAACAGTTGACTCTGTTTACATTACAGAAAGGGAATGATATTAATCAACACTGAAGATTTCATTCACAATCTGCATCAACTAATTCTCATTTTCAATCACTGTGCTCTCACAAGTAGTACCCGATCGACAAGCTTCATCAGAATATACATCCAACTTGATATCTGAAAAACTCAAACTGACCATTTAGCAATTAAGGTTGATGGCTATCTCCTGGTTAGTTGATTTTCATTAAGGGGAATCGACCTCGGACACTAACCATTGGCATACAGTGCATACGAATCAGCGTTCAACACGGCCTCTGCGCTACTGAGGGATGTGGCAGCGTCATATCCGTATCCGTTGTCATCAGTTCCCGGGCTGTATACACCCGGAGCATGGGTGAGCTCGTGTAAAGTGGTGGTTGCTTGATCTTGGCTGTGGCATGTCCTAGCCAATGCTGGGAGATCGGTGTAGTAGATATCACAATTGGCGATTACATTTTGAGATGGCAGAGTGTAAGCTAGGACATTGGTCTCGCAGCTATGTGTATTACATTTGTAAGCCATGTATGCACGTGAAGCCTTCACCGAAAGGAGGTACTTACTATCCCAAGGTATCTGAGCAGTAGTACTTAGTGGCAGACACCGAGGTGGCCTCCTTTGCCACGGCCTGAAGGCGAGCAGCCACAACCTTACGTGTAGCGGTGGTAGTGGTCTTGAAGTATTCCTCGAACCTATCGGATGATATTAGAATGGTTAATTTGTAGTGAAAGGGTATGTAACATACTTGGAGGCTGATCCAGAAAGGGCAGCTGTTGCGGCAGCGTTTGCGAGCGACACAGTGTTCTTGAGGGCAGTGTTAAGAGCTGACTTCTTGCTAGAATCACTACAGGTCTGAAGAGCACGACGATCGAGCGGCTTGATAGCCTTTGCCACACGGGAGGCCTTGGAACCGTCAACCTCAATCTTGAGATCATTGGAACGGTATGGCAGATAACCAGTAACTGCGCCATCAACGACTATGGGCACCAGGCCAGTCGACTGAAGGGTCAATGGACCTCCGCTAGACAAGTCAGTGGTAGCGGCAATGTCAAATTCATCCTCGAAGGTCTCTCCTGCAGCAAGGGAAGTGAGAGATTCCGAGGTGAGACCCTCGAGGACGAACCGACGCTTGATTCCCTCAAAAGTGACCTCGGCATCTTATATCAAGTTAGCATTAAGCAGATAGTGCCAGGAAAGATCTTAGATACCGTTCTTGAAGACATTGACCTTCTTCACGGGTGCGCTGTCACGGAAAAAGTTGAGATGCACAAATGTGACATCTTCACTGCCAGAGTTCTTCACGACAGCCTTGATGCGAGTGTCACTGACGCGGCTCAAGGTAATATCGAGGCCGGAAGTCTCATCGGTATCGACTGGCAAGGCGTTCACAGCCAGAGCCAGAAGTGTCGTGGAAAGGACAGCGAAACGCATGATGCTCGGAGGTCAAAAGACTCGAAATGTTGATGCTTCAAGAACAAAAGGTTGTAATTCTGTCTTGGACGCTGCTCGAAGAAAAAAGCTCCTATTCTCGAGAGGATACTGACTGCTTTATAGCCTATTGACACGAAGTGAAATGCCGCGGTCTCCTCTCCCCTCCATCACCTCCCATTACTCAGAGGGACATCGGAATAAAAAGGGTGGTATCTTTTCTGCATGAAACAACTTCAGCACGCCAGAAGTCAAGCATCCATAGGACGGACACGGGAGATCTGCGGGCAATCTTGTCACTGGTCGAAGATATCTTGAGATAGCTACATCTCCCAGGGGCAGGCAGCGGGCAATCTTGTCACTGGTTGGAGATATCTTAAAATGGCTTCATTTTCAGAAAGATCATCACGGATGTCGTCTTGGCCCGACGGAAACCCGGGCCCCTGAAGGACCGACTTTTTGGGTTTAGATACTAAGGGTTTATGAAGTTGAATTTGATTCCTCGTGCTTGAAGGGCGGGGCCGTTCGATGTAACTCCTCATGATCGGCTCTAGATCAAGAACCCAGCGCTAAAAAGAAAGCCACTTCATAGACCTTTGCGTTTGGCCGAAGGACAGAATTGGGTATATAAGTTGATTCGGTAGAACAGAAATCTATGCGCACCACCATCTTGTTAAAATTGGGAAAATAAAAACATTAACCTCTATAGACATCAACCGACCTCATAATAGTATGGTCTAATGGTAACGGCTGACATCTTTGTCTCTGGATGACCTGCAAAGCCCCCTCCATTCATATCATGCCAAGCCCTAGACCCTGCATTTGTCGTCGGACTCCGGTGCCAAGATACTACCCAAGACGGCGCCAAAGGTCTTGACTTGATGAAAAATGCTTAGTCCCAGCCATTATGGGTGATGTCCGACATACTTTTGAAATTAGTAGAGGCTTGGTTATTGTTATGAAACGCTCGGTCTGGTGGGTAACGCGCCAAGTCTACGAGAAAGGAGTGTTGCACGGAGCCCCGGAGGGAATGCGATGCGAATGCGGTAGAGCGCCTTGTTCAGTCGACTTGGCATGCAATTAAGAAAATCTTGATTGGGTTCACATGAGGGATCGTCAATATGATCAGCATTTCCAGATATAAGGCGTGATAACAAACCATCATCCACACCCTCTCAACCTCGGGATACGACTGTTAACTTTTCTAATTACTCCATTGTCTTTATTTTCTTTAACAATTCCCCCTGACCACAAACAAATTTTCTTTTAACGCAAATATGGAGTCGAACTTGAGTTTGCAGGTCACACTGGCCCTCCAGGCACCGATCCTAGAGGCACAAGAACCATTTGCTCTGCCAATCAAAGTTTCTGTTCACAATGCCGCAGATTCGCCAGTCACTATTCTAAGATGGAATACCCCATTAGACCCTCAGGCTGGTGTTCTCGGTGTTTTCGAGATTTGTGACGCAACAGACCAACGGAAATTGCCCATTCCTACTATTATGGTATCACGCAAGCTACCTGCATCTGAGAATGATCTCGTTGAGATACAAGCACGCAAAACTCTTGATGTAACTATCAATTTGCCGATTCAAGGCCTTGAAAAGGGACATGAATATTCTGTTCGTGCGCAGGGAACTTGGCATGCAGTGTGGCCAACTGAATTATCCAATGTGACTGTATCCCAGCTTAAGGATAACACAGGTGCCAGTCGCGGGGACTTCCTTTCTAATGAGTCCTCTGTGACCATTGAGTGAGCGAAGTATTTGATTTTTGGATACTGGAAGCAAAGGAGCAGCATGTGAGGGGAAATTGACCGATCACTATGTCCTACTTGCTACGATCTATTTTATGTCCGTTCGCTGGAGAATGGGATTAGGCCAATCTGTTTTCACTGTCGTTCACATGAATGCCTAGAAGATAGCAGTTCTGTGTTACATGTATTGGGGTTCCCCGATACTGAACAATTTGTTAAACAAGATTTAATCCGATGTCTAGTATTAAAATGTCCACTTGCCATGACTAAAGTGAAGCGCTGATAATCCAGTGTTCACTAGCACACGTCAACTTTTCTACTTCTCCATACAATACTCATGTCTTTCTACAAAGTACCAAACCCAAAAGAAGATGCTAGAGCAGTGTTCGAAGTTCTGAAACGGGGTGGTATCGCCATTATTCCGATGAGCGTTGGCTACGGAATAACCGCGATCGATCCGGATGCATTAGACCGGATTTTCCGAACGAAACAACGAGAACCACACAAGCGACATGCAATGGTTGGCAGTTACCTTCTGCATCGAGATATTCATCTTCTTCCCCCACAGGAAGCCGATATAGTCAGACTCTTGACTGTAGACTTGGATCTTCCTCTTGGGGTTGTTGCGCCATATCGGCTTGACCATCCCGCAATTCAAAAGCTTCCACCAAATATATTAGCACAAAGCGTTGTTGAGAACACTCTGGCAATGTTGGTCAATGGAGGCGCTTTGCTAGACGAATTGTCTCGACTTGCTACTCTAGAGAAACTATATCTGATGGGGTCATCGGCCAATATCACCGGGAATGGAGTAAAGATAGCGGTTGAGGACATCGAGCCTGAGATCCTCAAAGTGGCAGATATAATTATCGATTATGGGAGACAAAAGTTTCACCACCCTCGAGCCTCTTCTACCATGATCGATTTTAGAACAATGAAAGTTATACGATACGGGGCTTGTTATGATGTGGTACAGGATGCTCTCTGGCGATTTTATGGAATCAAATTGCCAGATGATCCTGGAACGTCAACTCGTTCGTCTTGAGAGACTTGTACAAACATGATATAATGAGTCTCGTGTACTTACAGAATTTGACACCATTAATCATGAAAAATTGATGTAAAAATGTAGAATAGCAAGTAATTCGGGAAATCATAAAAATAATATACTGGGATGGCTTTGCTTTGCGTCCAAAATATGGCAGGAGAACCATTCGAGAAGCTAAAAGTGATGTCAATATCAATGAGAGCAGATTGCCTCTCCTTATATCGGGGTCAATACGGAAATCCTACTTGTATTTTGCTAGTCAGGTAGAAGGATGTAGTTACGACTCATCATGTGTTGGCAACAGAAAGCCGATCTTGGTGTCTGTGAATCGTCTAATAAAAGGTACTAGAGCGAAATGCGGATATTACACAGAAAGAGGGAGAGAAGTTCTATGTCAAGCTCATTGTGGTATCTCATCAAAATCACAAGCATAGGAACAATGCACCAATACTTAGTGTGTGTTTAAAGCGTCACTGTTCTATCGGAATGTTCTGTAAAAGAGATTGAAGAGTTGGAACTTGGGCGTTTGTCAAAACTAGATGTAACTGATAGTGACAGTGTTTCCGGCGATAGAAGAAGATGTGAGAATCCGATCCTGATAGATGTCCATGATAGTAGCATTTGATGGCCCATAAGTATTTCTACCGCGCGACGCAACTGCATTAGAGAATACTACAGTGCCAAAGTTGGAGAAAGGTGTCATTGCGTTGTTCACGGAAAAGTCCTCCACAATCCATTCAGCATTGAACTCGCAGAGACTACCCCCAAGGCCATGAGGGAATATATGCGTCACAGATACACCCGTGGATAAATTTTCAAGAGTAACGGAGCCGGAACTCCTCGAAGTTGCATCGACTCTAGCTTTGATAACATCTCCAGCCGAAATTTGGATGTTGCTAAAGTCATGCGCGTAGTCTGGATACCATTTGTACCATGCGCTGTACGACGTAGTGTCTCCTTGAATACAGAAATCGATTCCTGTTTGTAAAATAGCTGTATTGCAAGTATCGCCGTCGATGCCAACCCATGCAGAGGCGCAGTAATTTGTGTAGGAATTAGCACCCCTTGGGAGTTGAGGGATGGGAACTGTGATCTCTCCGGATACCGAAGTGTACCCGGTACCAATAAGCACAGCCCCGGCCCAGTTTGAACTGTAACTCGCCTGGGAAGTCTGATTCAGATAGAACACTTCTGAGGTATTTGGATTATAAGGTCGGTTCGTGTGGCGCGTGGCTCGGGAAGATCGCTGTGTTGCACCGCCCGCCTGCCGCCGAGAAGTGAGAGGAGAGGCAATGATAGAGGTGGCGAGTAGTGCAGCACCTATGATTATGGAAGGGAACTTCATAGTAAAAGCCTGGGTGTTGAGTCGGTAAAATACCGTTTGAAGTGTCAAGAACGAAAAGCGAGATTTAATACAAGAGAGTTGGACAAACGCTTCGCACCAAACCCAACGTTTATATAGCATTGCGCCGAATATTGGCTGAACCCAGATAAGACTAGATTGCACCAAAAGAAATGAATGACTATATTACGGGATGACAAAAAGCGCAGATGATCACTGTCGGAGACCGATTACTAGTGTGAAGTTGCGAGGTAGCCTCACGGCCAACGAAATGCACAAGCATCATCTACCCGAACATATTTAATGATAAAGGCTTTCCTTGCATAGGTACGTTACATGGATTCGGACTAATATATACATATATATACCGACGTAGAGTAACTATAGGCCTGGCCACTCTGATTATTTATTGGTATAGCCTGGCAGAGGCGATATGTACAGATAGCAAGTAAATTTAATATAGACAGCGTGACCGAAAATAATAAGGTTATTTAGCCTTGCGTTACTCCTTGATTCACGTTTGGTCTCTGCCATTTGGCTCCAGATCTGCTCAAGAGTCTCGAGAGAGAGGTGACAAGGGGAGGGTTGTGATAGAATTAAAGGTGTCTCACGCCTATAGACCTTGGCTCCTCTCTACTGATCTGCATTTCTCTTCATTTCTTCATTTCCTTCTTCTACATTGAAGGTGTGAGTAGAAATGGGTTGAATCTCTGTTTTATCTCTCGATGAACCATTTGATGACTTTACCAAGGAGCCTTTTGCAAAATGCTTGCTTCTCTGTCACGCAACGAAGTACAACAGGGCAAAATCAAAAGCCTCTTTCATATTCCTGCACACATTCATGTTGAAGTGACATGAAATGTTTCAAAGCAAATATCGGAAACTTTCAATCTCGTGGTCGGTCTTGTTAGAAAGCTCGTCTTGTAGTTCTTCAGTCTCCGTAATCTCACTAGGAGACCCATATAGCCTATCCCGTCGACTGTTTTCCGAGACGTAAAATATATAGAGACAGACCAAGAAGAATATTCCGAAGGCCAGTCCTGCCATAGACGCTTTAATACCGGTCTTATCACGTTAGAACCAAAGAGTAAGAAAAGGCCATAAGAGTGAAGGACTGACTGGATATGTAGGTTCCTCAGAAGGAATGAAAAATTGTGGCCCGGCAATATTCCCAATGCAGTACGCGGCGAACATGAGGGCGCTCACAGTACTCTTCTTGGTAAGCCCGGCGACGTTTGAACTGATCAGACTGAGGGACAAAGGAATATTGGCAGCAAAGATAGCACCGAGGCAAAGACCGGTCATTTTGCCAGCCTTATTATCATCACCTAGCTTCCAAATCAGAAGCATACCCACCATCGACACCGCTGTATTAACGATCATCATGATAATGCGAGATTTTGGAACAAGGGCGGCAAATCCCGAAGTAAGAATGAGAAAGACAAGCTGGGCACCGCCAATAGGCATCTGAATGAGAAGAGCCTCTAAATGGGGGAATCCAAATCCGGTGATAATGATAGAAGAAAAGCTTGTGATGCCACCGTTGCAGAAGTTGACACACAGCGTATAAAGGACTAAAAACCACGTTTGCAGGTCTTTGATGGCCATTAAAACCTGTCCCCATTTGAACTTGCCTGTGTCCAAAACTCCAGTCTTATTTTTCAAAGTTCTGTGGACTGCAATAGCTCGTTCGTTCGGTTTGAGGAAGAGGGCCTTGGAGGGTGAGTCTGGTAGTGTAAAGAACAAGACGACACCATAGGCAGAAGTGACAGCACCCAATACGAGAAACAACAGTTGCCATTGAGCAATAGCTGTGACGCGAATATTGCCAATACCGTAGGCAATCAGTCCACCAAGAAGAACAGCAACAGAGTTTCCAACGAACCATGCTGCCTGCCGTGCTGGCTGCTCCGCTCTGGTATAAAACATTCCTGTTATTAGCGCGAAGCCAGGAGCAATGGATGCCTCTGTCAAAATAAATTCATTAGCTGTGTCGACAATTGTTGGCATATGGATTCCCACCTCCAACTCCCAAAAAGAATCTCGCTGCCATTAGCCCACCCCAGTTCGTGCAAGCAGCATGAACCATCAGACAGCCACCCCAAACACAGACAGCACAGCTGAGATATTTCCCTAATGGAAGTCTAGAGCGAATAATTAGCATATGTCATTATGCATTCATCTCTCAAACATACCTCACAACTAGATAGGAGCTCGGCCAGCTCCACGCAAAATAACCAAAATAGAAAATGGCCGAAGCCCAGTTGTATTCATTTCCTTTCAAGTCCTAGTAATAATTATAGACCTGTATTAGTATCCAACACAATAATGAGACTTTAGACATATGCTGATTGGGATGTGGACTTACCAAATCCTGTCGAAGACTGAAAAGGGTTGCCTGGCTAATTGCTAGTTTGTCGATGTACTGCAACATGTAGCAACCACCCATAAGAGGTATTAAAAATAAGTCTAGCTTTCTTAAAACCCTTTTCTCAATTGCAGGGGTTGTTTCTATCTCAAGCACTTGTCCGAAATCCACATCGCGAATACCAGAGCTCGGCTCAACCTTGAGCATTGCAAGGTCTGGGTTGGTACCTCCGGGCGGGAGGTGCTGTTCTCCCATACTGACTGGCCGAAAATAAGCAGTGGAGCAGAGAATATGGAGAAAATTGAAGAATCTTTGTGATATCTGAAATAGAAAGATGATCGACTTGGAATATCTATCAATTTGCAGGCGTCTCGGGGGGTTATATATGGCTTCCAGGACAGAGGCCAACTGTGGCGAGACACAGGGTACGACAATAGCTGATAGGGCACCGAAGTCTATAATTGATGCGAGTTATCGAGTCAATATTACGTTAATACGATTCTACTCCAAGAAAAGGCGGGGGCTTGGGACGATAACAAACGCCATGAACGCGGGCGAGGTTAACGGCAATTAGAGACAGTTATAGTGAGGTCTAGATGCCGAGATACGATCCATATGTCTCTTTGTAGCTAGCTAGCACCGTTTGCATAGATTTCGTGAGGAGTAGAAGATTGGCATTATAATATCGGCAGTCTAGCGAATCATATGCCACGTCGGCAATATGCAATATGGATTATCCTCTCATCGGCAACCCACTTCTCCTACAGCCCTCGATAAGAAGCCGGAGAGAATAAAGGGGGATGAGAGATAGCCAGAGGCGAAAAGAAAATTCAGAAAAGAAAATGAGATATTGAGGATCCCACAAGCCTTTTGGTCATGGGATGAATCTATAGCTCTGATCCAATATGTTCACTCCATATGCCAAATATGGGCTCACAACATTACAGAGGATACTACCCCGGATTACACTAATATGTGGAGGCCCCCGAGGGAGATCTAGCTAGGCTCTCGCCAAACTCGCCAATATGAATGATAACCGCATCTCCGAGTTACTATAGACTTCGGCATCGCCCCCGCTTCGTCGGCAAACGTCACGATACTACCTGATAACGTCAATCTGACTTTTAATCTGCATTTTTTATAGTTAAATAGGACCTTCAGGTAAGAGAGATTCCAATTTGATCATGCTGGAATTGAGCAAGACAGTCAAAACACCATGACACTCATAACCACCAATATCGAGGAAGTGAAGTCGTTTGCAGATGCCACAATTGAGGCACTACAACAGAAATTGAGGGAATTGAACCATGAAGTATGCTAATCCTTGTATAGTTTTATCTGCAAGGCTAACATGGTGATTAGATCTGGTCAAATCCTGAGCTTGCTTACCAGGAGCACCGAGCCCACGATACAATTTGTGACTTCCTCGAAGGACAAGGCTTCACTGTTACCCGTCACGCTTATGGCCTTGATACCTCTTTTGAGGTTTTGAGTGGAACTGGTGGGCGATTGATCAATTTCAACGCAGAATATGACGCATTACCTGAAATTGGTCACGCTTGTGGCCATAACCTAATAGCGACCAGCAGTATCGCTGCCTTCCTTGCCCTATCGTTTGCCATAAAAAGGTTTAACGTCCCCGGTAGAGCCCAGCTGTTAGGCACGCCAGCCGAGGAAAATGGAGGCGGAAAGGCCAAACTCATTGATGCCGGCGCTTACAAGAATGTTGATATCTCCCTAATGGCGTAAGACCACACATTGTCGCATATGAAAAGAGATGGAATCTTATGTGCTGACTTGATTTGCAGCCATCCGGGACCTCAAACGCTTTACCCTGGCCAGGAGCCATGCGATGGCATAGCTGGAACGCTTATGAATGCACGCAAGAATATTCACTGTGAGTTGCCCAATCAATTCTCGCTTTCCATGCTGATGAAAGTCATTCAATATAGGCGAATTCACGGGCAGAAATGCTCACGCCGGTGGAAACCCCTGGGAAGGGATCAACGCACTTGATGCTCTGGTCTCATCTTACAACAACGTTGCGGTTCTTCGACAGCAGCTTCTTCCGGACCAGCGTGTTCATTGTGCTTTCTTGGACACACCCAAGGTAGCTAACGTGATCCCAGATTATACGAAAGCGTTGTGGCAGGTGCGCAGTCCTACATTGAAGGGATTGAACACCCTTATCGGCAAGGTGCGGAATTGCATTGAGGCTGGTGCGTTGGCCACGGGGTCTCAGGTCAAGATTGATGAGTATGCATCCCTTTATAGCATACATGTCTAGGCGCTTATGAAAATATTTACTAATGAATTTAATTCCAGGGATGAGCTTTATACCGATGTCCGATTGAATGACACCCTCTGTGAACGCTACCATGTCCACATGGGAGGGTATAGTCGCAAGGTTCTCAAGCGCCATGACAAAGTCCTAACAGGATCGTCGGATATTGGTACGTGGTAGGATATTATTCGATTTCATTTGACAGGACTAACCCGTGTAATTCAAAAACAGGCAATGTTAGCTACGAGACCCCCACGCTTCATACAATGTTTGCGATTCCCGCTCCTACAACTTCGTTTCCACATCACCCGACGTTTGCAGCTGCAGCTGGAACAGATGAAGCTCATAATGAGGCATTGATTGTTGGTAAATCTTTGGCGTTGATCGGTTGGGATATGATTGTAGAGAATGATATGTACGATGTGGCGCGGCGTCAATGGAAAGAAGAGGTTTTGCGGGAGGAGTAGATGTATGTAGCGCGCCTAAAAGCCATCAGATTGCATAAGGAATCCATCTATTTTGTCAATAGAGACGATTTTGAGCGCTTCGCAGTTTGAACAAGTTGAAGTCTTCAAAAACAATGTCAATTTCCCATATGGCAGTCCATCCGACAGCGAGTCCAAAAATAAAAGCGCCCCGAGGTCAACGTCATGATGACTCAGCTTTCCCGCGTTATCTTATCGGCTTCGGCAGTGAGATCGGACACCATCCCGACACCTTTTGCTATCTTCGCTCGTTTCGCTCATGTCTGCAGGTTGACCCCTGGTGGTTCATGTCCATGCAGGGTCTGGGGCGTAATGGCCCGCGTTCTAAGAGTGGTAGGGTATATCTTTTACTTTCCTACATGCCCGACTAACTCACTTCTCGGTACAACATAGGTTGTAGTACCTGCCGCCGTCGCAAGGTCAAGTGTGGGGAAGAGAAACCAGTCTGTGCAAGATGTTCGTCTCTGCGCCTCAATTGTGAATGGGGGGTTCCAGTGAAACGTGGGCGAAGCACACAAATTCGACATCTTGAACCTGCACCAGACCAACCAGACACTCAAGGGCGAGCTGAGGACCTTGCCGGGGTTCAACCCAATGCGCTTTTTCAATCTCTCTCGCCGGTCTCTTGGGCATCTGGCGTTCTTCCCTTTGATACGTTTGATCCGGCGCCAATTCCGACTCCCATATACCCTTCCTTGAACGTCAATGTCACATGTGCCAATTCATTGACACTCACCTCTCTTGATCGACAATACTTCCAGTACTTCCCTTCTTCCTCGCTTGTATTTTACTACATGAAGGGATGGAAGTGGAGCGGGCTCTGGTGAGATTTTTATGGTTACTGTCCACTCGAGACTCGAAGAGTTCGCCCGGCTAATTGGACGAAAATAGCCATCTTTACGAAGGTGCAGCTACATCAAATAGAGTTATAATGCGGATGATATTGGCAATAAGTGCATGTGATATGCATCGAAATGGGTTGATTACGCGCTCTCGGGATCATGGTCGGTACCATTACAGCCAAGCCGTCAAAGAATTCAGGCAACTGCTTGAGACGCCGCGCCAGGTTTCATTGGATGATGTTGAGACAGTTTTCGCCACTGTGTTTTTGATGATCGCGTGGGAGTGGCAGTTTGGACACTCGGTGCGCCACGTGAGAATGCTCTCATGTACTGGCTAGAGTTATCATCGGCTAATGCGTATCTAGCTTCAACTCCACCTCCAGGGCGTACGCTCGCTTCTGGAAACACACCCACAACTATTCCGCATTAAAGATGTGAATGATATGTTCTTGTCTCCCGGAATTAGTACATTGGCCAATGATACCGTGGCTGTGGCCAAGGTCTCCTTCATTCCTGAGCAGCTTTTGTTGTGGATTTTGTGAGCTCTGTTTCCAGGCGTTATACAAACGACTCCCACTGACGAACACACAGATACATCGATGCTAGTTGTCGTCCCATTGGTCTTACCGAGTCACTTAATGATTATGTGGCCCAGTCCGGGAATCCCGCTTTGCAGCCGGACCATCTTTATCGCTGTGCTCGTCTCTGGGGCCGATGCTTTTGGGGCGAGCAGTACCCCGACGAAGAAGTTATGGACGACATTGAGAACTATAGAGCTCTCGAGCTATTACATGCTGGGTTTTGCCTACGCCATCGAACTTGGAAGGTCCTCGTGGAATCCGCGGCTGGTACCACCGGCTCCGCCGAACCTCTTTTCCGTGAGATCCTCAGTATTAGAGAAGTCAGTATAGGTAACCCACCCCCAGATGCCGAGATAGTTACTGATTGTTTGGTCAGAAATTCTCCGACCTTTTTATTACCTCTAGATTTGCTGGTAATGTCTCGGCTCGACGTACTCTCAATACCATATACATGGCCGTTTCTACCTTCTACGCCCAGGTACTTCTCCACCGCCGCCTTCTCTGCGTCGATGCTTTACCTATGGGCATCCACCAACAAGCTACAGCAGGAATCATTGATATTTCTCAAAAGCAATTTTTGTCTGATCCAAAGCTCCTTAAACGTTTACACTTGCCGCTATTGATGGCAGTGATTGAAACCAACGATGTAACACATCAGAGCTGGCTGCGTCAACGTCTATGGGAATTGCGCGACTTTCACTCCGAGTTTGTTTGGGCGCATGATGTGGCCGAGCAGATTCTGGCCCAGCAAGATGTGGGCCAGAGACGATATGTTAACCTGGCCGAATTTTTACTAAAGCGTTTTCATGCGCCATGAAGCCTGCAGTCTCTTGTGGATCTACTTACTTCTTTACAGACCAACACTAATGTCTTAAGTCACTTTGCATAGCTGTCGGCCCTTTTTATTACACCCCTAAGCCCTTCACTGTCGAACCTATAGAAGTATAGAAATCCGTGAGTTCGGTTTCTTCAGAGTCATAGATTTATATTGAAACCGAAGGGATTTATTAGGAGTGTCTTTTAGCCATGAACCGAAGCTATCTAGAAGAATGCCATCCAACCCCCCACAACTCCGCCCAATCCTCACAGCCTGCTGCCAACGGCGCTGGATACTTGAGTAGGATTCGTGCCCCTGATGTACATGCAATTTAGCTGTTATGTCCTTCCCCACACATGTGGTAACCCAACCTACCTTTGGCGTTTGAGGAACCCAGCAAAGAACTTGCCGATTTCAGGGTAATCACCTAGACCCATAATAGCAGAGACATCTAGCGATCCGAAAATGTCAGTTGTATGTAAATATCTCACGACAAGGTATTTGCTTACATTGATCTGGGCGAACAATGATAAGAGCGCCTTGTGCCGGGTCAACGCCGAGATATTTGTATGCATGGCCGTGGCCGTCATTGTAACTCTCATCATCGTAATAAATTTTGTGTAGATCTAAATGTTTTGTTAGGCATGGTGGACATATTGGAAATCAGAATATCTGCACCTCTTGTTTGATTTTTCCCAGAGATCGGGTAAAAACACTCGGGGATCTGCTCCAACTCAACACCATGACGTTTTCCATGTCCGATTAAAATGATCTCGATGAGACTGTCAATACTTTGATCTTTCGGGGTGAATGTGTGGATGGGCCCATCGGCCGCGCTCAAGTATTCTCCCAGCTATATGATGCATTAGAGAAAGCCCAGGTAATATAATAATAGCGATAAACAGACCTTGTTGAGCTTCGAGTGGTTTTCTGGTACAGTCAGGTCACCTACGAATGCAATGACGCGCCACCGGCCATCGGACTTGAGAGATTTCATGAGCTGTAGAGGTTTAGAGTCACAAAATCGCACGACCTGTGCGCTAGGTAGCCGCATACCAACGGCCACATTGGAGGCGAGCTTGGTCGATTCCAATGCAGAGGTGATAGGTGAGACCTCATACTTGGCCGTTAAGCCTGCGGTGTATTTGCCAGATTTGATGAACCCTTCTTGGAACTCGGCAGGAGATGTCGCGGCCCCGGAGGAAAACAACTTTGAGAAATAACGATCAAATTTAATGAGATCAATAGCCACCTTTTCGCGTTCTAGGACGTAAGTCTCTAGCAGCGAGGGACTGGCCAGACCAGTTAAAATTTCGCCAAGCTTCCAGCCAATATTGTAGCCATCCTGTAAGCTGACATTCATACCCTGTCCAGCTTTGGGGGAGTGGGTGTGGCAAGCGTCACCAGCGAGGAAGACCCGGTTATTCTTGTGGAAGAAATCGGCATGACGTTGGCCGATCGCGTACGCCGACCACCAGACTGTCTCAACGAAGTCTACATTGTAAGGATGGAAGATGCTTTGTGCTTGGGCTTGCAATTTTTCCAGTGTCACTTCTTTCGGGTTGGTTCCTGGGGCAAGTTCAATATAGAACCTCGTCAGGTTGTCACTATCGCCTTCACGGGGAATAATCAAGACGTTTCCTGATTTTGACCGGATAGTAGACTTCTTGCGAATATCAGGGAAATTGGTTCGTGGCACCATGTCCATGACACCCCAGACGGCATCGCTGCTGTCTCCAATCATTTTGTACCCAAGTGCTTTGCGGACAATGCTGTGTGCCCCATCGCAAGCCTGATGGTTGGGTCAGAAAGTGTGTAAATATTCCAAAAGGATCATGAGCACCTACCAGTGCATATTTGGCTGCAAACACTTGTGTCTTTCCATCCTTTTCCGCAGTGACTTTGACCGGATAGGCGTTCTGATCTTCGGCAGAGGCGCTGTCAACTTTGACATCGGTCACGTTGTAACCATAGTCGATTTGTTGGTCATTATACTTCTGCATCAGCTCAATCAACAGCCCATTGATACGTGCTTGGTTCAGAATAACGTGAGGTTGGTGTGATAGACCTGGCTGGGTATCCGCTGTCCGCCCTGTCCGCTTGATGACGCCTGTACCATTGTCGGCCCAGAAGTTGACCTCTAAAACATGGTAGGCCTCACGAAGAAGTTCTTCTCCAATTCCAAAGCTTTCAAAGATCTCGACGGTGCGACATTGCACACCATCGGCTTGACCCATCTTCATAGGACCACCCCGTCGTTCTAATATCTTGCACCGCACCCCATACTTGGCGAGCCAAGTGGCAGCGCAAAGACCGGCAGACCCGCTGCCGCAAATGAGAACGTCGAATTTCTCCATTGTTCAAATGTGTAAGCGTAATTAGTATATCCGGGGTCTTTTATGGTGAATCCGGGATGTGACCCGGGATGAGCTCCGTGGGGGCTCGGGATGCGTTCCGAAAGGGGATGGGACGACATTCAGGAAAGCCTCGGTAGTCTCTAAATCGATGTCTCTTACTGCCGTTTTGATATTGCGAACTTCTTGTTTTAGTAGATCGGGAGACAAGGTTTCGGAATGCCGGTTATATTCAAATCTCGGTATCAGATTTCATTTGATCCCATTTGGTTTCTTCATATCCAAACACAAGGCATATGCATCATTAAGTCTGGTCTAAATCATTATATAATGCTCATCCTTCCGCCCAAATACCAAACCGAACGCCAGCGCCGGTACAAAACCATCACATCTTACAAAAAGTACTCGCTGCGCCCTGGCCGCGAAGTTGGAACATGCCGCTGGTCATCGCTGACTGCACTAAACAGCTTGAAGGTGGGTTTGAGATCATCTCCGATTTCACAGACCGAGGCCAGGTTTCCGCATCGGTAGCAGTAGTTCGGTGCACTCCACACGGTGACGACATTTTGGTTGTTAAAGTGGTATTTGTAGCCCTCGTTGACCAGTTGATGAGCACGTGCGATCAACGAGAGATCATTAACATGGCAGAACTCATCAGCCACTCTGTCTCCGAATAACCATCCTAGAATTGTCAGCTATGTGTGTCCAAGAAAAAAAAAGATGATTCTCACCTGCTCCTCGAGGACTGACAGCCCACGTCTCCACATCGTCTGGGTCAGACCACACGAGATCACAAAAGGCACCCTCATGGGGAATCTCCTGTGCGCGGGCTACCACGCGAACTTGGTCCAACGTGCGAATCTCAGGGCTCAAACCGCCGTGAACACACAGCACCTTGCTATCAATGATGGCCCCCAATGTCATGAAATCGAAAACCTGGCAGCATGCCTTCCATACTGAAGCACTGCCATATTTTTGGAAGCATTCTTCGTAGAAACCGTATACCTGAGTAATTTGGCGCGACTCGTGATTACCACGAACCAATGTGACTCGATCGGGGTATCTAGTCTGGGTCAGCAGTGAGCACTTCCATCTTTCGGGTGTTACTCACTTTGCTTTGAGGCAGAGTAAAAGCGTTAAGGTCTCCAGACTGAAGTATCCACGGTCCACGTAGTCACCCAGAAATACAAAGTTACGGTTAAGCTGGAGATCTTCGGGTGTACCGCTGGCGGAGCGGCTTCGTGCACTCGCATCTTCCTCTTCGTCATTGGGGTTCACGTTGGGGCCACGAAGCTTGTTGCGAATTTTAGGGTCTGAGATGCTTGAGGGGGGGGTTCGATATCGGCCGAGGTAATCACGGAGGGAGATGTCTTCGGGGGGTCCAGCTCTGTGCCATCAGGCATACCCCCAGAAACTCGAAAGAGTTCCAAGAGATCGTAGAATTGGCCGTGAATGTCACCACAAACTGTGACAGGTGTCGATACTGGTTGGATATTTGATTCTGTAAAGCACAGTCAGAAGAGATAAATCCAAGCCCAGGCTAGACTGAACTTGCCCTCCATCATGTATTCCTTGACGATCTCACACAGCTGCTTCATATGTGGCTCCGATAGATACTTGCAATCCTTCGCTGCCTCCAGCCACTCGTCGGGACCCGCATTGCGCTTAAGTTTGGCAGGACCCGGTTGAGGAATCTTGCTCTCAGGCATGATAAAAAAAAGAATTAAAGAGAAATAGCGAAAGAGAGTGAAGTACAAGTAGAATGAATGTGAAGGAGGAAGTGCAGGTTTCCCCCGCAAAGCTGAATTTCGCCCTTGGCCGCCTTCGTCTGCCGAATTGTTGAGCTCTCTCTTCGACTTTTCTCCTTTCTCTCTTCTTTCATACAAATGTACTGTGTGATACAATGGTTTATTTTATTATCTTTCATTCAAATATTTGGACCTCAGTCTGACTTCTAACACGCAGTTGACTTAGTACTTCGAAACACACCCGATCGTCCACATGAGGCACCCGCACGACCTCGCCATACATTCGTTCCAGTCATATTCGGACTTGTTAGCACACTTTACAATACAATGACCGTGGAAAAGAGATTATTAGATGCCTATGTTACATACACATTGGATCTGAAGCCGCGATTTGATCAGCGGAATAATACTCCATACAAGCAGTTGGAAGGGAAGATATGGTCATGTCGGGTGAATATTCAGTGAACATAATTCATCATAGGCCATACAGGGGATCAAAAATCTATCTACAAACCCATACAAATGCAATCAACCATCAATTTTGCCGAGGAATTCAGTCACAACTTCCGCGAATGCCACAGGCTGCTCCACCATGGGCAGATGTCCAGCACGGTCGATTATCTTAAGATCGGCGCCACCACGTAGATCCGCCGCCATCTTCTGCATGGTCTGGGGCAAGACACCGTCATTGGCTCCAGCGACGAACAGACCTGGCACGGTGGCAGTAGCCATGCGCTCACGGATATCGTAGGCACAGAGGGCCTGTACGCTATGCGCAAATCCCTTCAAGCTGTTAGTGCGCACAGCTTCCTTGACCGCGGCAAGGACTTCAGGCTGGGCCTGGTATGATTCCGGCACGAACCAGCGACGGGTAGTGACCTCGGCCAACTCTTCGCCAACAATGGGCTCCTTGGTCTCTGGGTCGATAGAGCCTTCCTTCTCGCAGATGGCGACACGGTCCCCCCATGCCTTACGGTTGGATTCGGGGGCAGAAGAGTTGGTGTCGCACGCGATGAAAGCTCCAATGCGCTCCGGGTGGAGGAGAGAAGTGTTTAAAACGGTCACGCCACCCAAGCTGACACCGATCAAACGAGCGGCCTTGGGGGGCACACGCAAAGCCTCCAGCAATGTAGCCAGATCAGAGGCCAGCAAATCGATGTTGACAGGCTGCTCACCACTCTGCGAGCGTCGACCTCTGGTCAAATAACGCACGACACGGTAACGCTGGTTCTGTTGATGAGCAAAGAAGGCGTCAACGAAACGATCCCAGATATTCCAGTTGACCAGGATGGAGTTACTCAGCACGACCACAGGCGCGTAGGGGTCAGTGCTGCCCTCCAGTCGGTAGGGGATTTCAACCCCATCAGACGTAGTGACGAAGGACTCGACAGCCGGGCGGACGGCCGAGGGAAATGTGCGCGTGCGGCCATCATTGGAGTTCCAAGGTCCAATGACATCCGAGGCAGCTAGCGAAGTGAGCTCACGGGGAGCAGGGCCAAAGGTGTAATACCACTCATATACGCGACGCTTCTTAGAGGTGACCACCTCGCTCATGAGACGCGATCCCCATGGGGTATTCATGGCGGCTTTGTGAGCCTCGCCCCCAAGACCATTGACGGGAGCATACTCATGAAGAGTCAGCGATTCGCGTGGGGCGGAATCGATCGCGGCAGTGACAAAGCGGCGACTCCGGCGCCATCCAGGCACACGGGAGAGCATTTCAAAATGTTCCTCACGGTACCATTTTTCCAGGTCAGCTTGTTTGGTGGGGTCGGGGTGAGTGGTCACTCGGATGGCGACGAGGACGCTACCCCGTGTCTCGGCATCTGTATCGGCTTGATCTTCTAGCGGGCGGAAGTTGGGGTCACTGCGCTCATCCACTAGATCGTACAATAAACGGCCGACATCGATTTGTGCCATAGTCTTCTTCTCCCGCTCGGTCTTAATCAAGTCGGTTCTTAGATCCAAGTAGGTCTCTCGAGTCAACTCGTCCATGTCGGTAATATCGTACAAAGCCACATATTCAGGTTGTTCTCCATCGGTGGCACGGAAGCGAAAGCCATTCGTGACAAAGGGCAGTCGTAGACGCAGAGGTCCATGTTCAGTGTTGTACCAGTCATGGAACTGGGTATCTGGCAATGAGCCCTTGGGCTGCATTGTCACATAGAGAAGACCGGGAGTCGGCATTATGAAGGCTTTTAAGAGGAAATTGAAGAAAAAGATTCAAATGTAAAAGATAAAGGTCTTAAAAAGGTCTCTAAAATCCCCAAGACCTCCCATATAAAATAATATACCGGCACTCTCAGAATTGCCCCTCATCCGGGTGAAGGTAAAACCCGAACTTGACTGCCGATATTTCCCTTTTCGGGTATTTTATATAATCACATTCTACTGTTTTATAGGGTATATATTGGTATTTTTGCATCTAATTTAATCATACCAAATAGCATTCATACCAAATCCTTGCTCGGGGATATCCACGCGTGCAACGCGTGCCAACTTCTCGTCGCGCCAGCGGTACATTTCAACAAATCCAAGCTGATCATCGCAAAGTGCGAGCCATTCGTCGCTGAAATCACAGGGACTAACGGCGTTGGAGTGACCACCACTAGTCGAGGTGGGGTTAATGAAGAGCTGACGTTCGATCTCGCCATGCGAGCCGAGTTTGAACGCGGTGATGTAGCCAGTCACATCGAAATGGTTGGACCGAGTAGTGGCGAAAAGGTATTCTCCTCCCTTGGTGCAGAAAGTGACATCGCCGCGGTACTTGTTGCGTGGGGGAAGACCTAATAAGTTAGTTGTTTTGACATCGATCGCCTTTTTCGGTCAGTAACACTTACCGGAAGGCAGTAACGGGTATGTGATATGAGTGAATACTGGTTTGTGAGTGCGCTCATCGATCACGTAGACTGCCAGTCGATTGCCTGCCTCCATCAGCGCGTACAGGTACTTGCCGCTTGGGTGCATCTCGACCCAGCGGGGGTGATCACCGGCATCAGGAGCCTCGAGGCAATCCACCAGTGCTAATTGGCCCGTCTGGGGATCCTTGATGTGCGTCCAAATCTTGTTGGCTGTGAGATCGGCGGAGTACAAGTAGGTCTCCGTGGGGTCGAACACCATGCCGTGGATACCAGTGTTGGGAACGTATTCATAGTTCTGGATATTGCTGTCTAGAGCTCCGTCGGACTTGACAGAAAACACGTTGCCGTACCCAGCGTGGTTGTAGAAAGGGTTGCCGTAAACATTGTAAGGAGGCTTGTGGGCGGCCAGCACGAAGATAGCACGAGTGTTGGTCTCGCTGCTGGGAGCCAGAGCTAGTGCGAAACAAAAGAGTAGGTTAGCAAGTGGAAGAGGAATTGGATTGTGTGGACATACGGTGACCAGCAACCGGGTGCGACACTTGGTGGACGATCTCTGTCGGGCTATTGACGGCGAAACTGTTCCACTTCTTCATAGCCGCGCCATATATCGTCTTCTTATCGTGGGAAAAGGTCATCCATGAGATGGGCTCCGCTTCTGGAATCTCGGTCTTTTTAACCAACTCTAGCGTGAGGGATTCATCATCGAATTGCACGGTATAGATGCGCCCGGGGGCGGTCCAGGTACCGACCATCAAATGATGCTTCATATTGACAATTGAGGAGTGAGAAAATGACCGAGATATCGAGGCAGATGCTCGTGGAAAGACAGAACAAATCATGTACACGTCGAGGATTTGAAAGGAAGTTATCCACATGCGGGGAGGATATCGGCATCGAGGGGCGGCATCCCGCGGGAGTGTGTTTTACTGCAATGCCGGTGTTGGGATCACGACTTTTGGCTTATTTTTAATTGTTCTAGTACACTGCAGAATATTTGAGGTGGATATGAATGTAATTTGAAACACCTAGTCACTTTTGTGGAGGCCTATCATATTCTTGAAGTGCCTTCTCCCGTAATCCGGGGTAGACGCATCTATAGTGAAGCCAGGCAATCCTCACAAAACAGCAATTCCCACGCTTTTCAGCTAGTTGTTTAACTAGCAATATCACACCATCATGTTTTTTAGCAGCTTGCATACAGTATATACGCGTCGACCCAATATTGTGCCCAAGTTGTGTTCTTTCAACCAATACATCTAGTTATATATATACCTATATATATCTACATACCAAACAGCAACCTCCAACTACGTGGATCTGGTGGATATCTATATAACCTGTTCAGTCGTCTCATTTATCAGTCATTCGGCTTGTCTCTCTTCTATATGTTATGTTGTATACCGGGTAGATATTTCGCACGTATACCCCGGAGAAACACTCCCCCACATGGGCGGGTAAGATATTTGCCCTCGGCATCAACGATATCCCCCGACCACCCCGCAATCCTGTAAAGGTGGAAGGAAACATTTAAACCGACCTCTGATGTACAGGTTTCAACGTAGACTGACTATCCTCAAATATACCCTCAAATCAATCGGAATCAATCATACAAGAACCATGCGTCTGCCCTACGCTCCTTCCACTCCGCCTATCGATGCACCCCCCGACACCGCCGACATCTATGCGCGCATTGCGGAGCGCAGAAACCCCCGTCCTTTGATCCCACTTGACCTGTCCCTCCTCCACAGCCCACCTGTCGCCGATGGCTGGAACAGCTTCATCGGAGCTATTCGATCGCGTACTCTGGTCGACTCTGGTATCATGGAGTTGGCAGTCTGCCGTGTCGCCGTACTAAATAACGCTATCTACGAATGGAACGCTCACGCTCCACTGGCTCTGAGGGGTGGCATCGAGCCAGATCAATTGCACGCTGCTCTTACCCTACCTTGCACCGCCGAGGGTGATATTGCCGGGCTTGAGAGTAGCGCACTCACCCCGCAACAGCGCGCCGTTCTACGCTATACGGACCAGATGACTCGCACAATCAGAGTTGAAGATGATGTTTTTGCTGAATTGAAGACGGTTGGGTACAATGACCGCGAGATCGTGGAGCTCACCACCGGCATCGCCGGTTATAACTGTGTGAGTCGGTTCTTGGTTGCGCTGGACGTTGGCGAGAACAATGCTCGCGAGATGAAGAGCGTGAATGAGTTGGTTGCCACTCTATAGGAGGTGAGAGGGCGGTGACGCTCAAATGAAACGTTGTTGTAACACAAGGAGACTGTTGATGAATGATATGGGCAACATTGTCAGAGCCACTACAAGTATGTAAATAGAAAGTTTGGATAATGAATAAATGATGAATCAAAATTAGACTAGCAATATAAGACCTCAATGCTAAACCTTATATCCTCTCTTGTTACCCTAAACCACCTATAGGCACTGCGAGTAGTAATCATTCTGCTTCTGGCAGGTGTACGGACTGGCACAGGTGGTTGCTCCGGTCCAGCTAGATCCACCACATTGTGCATAGTGAGCTGCACCAGTGGTGCCTGGTCCAGTTGTGGTTGTGGTGGTGGTGGCGCTGGTGGTAGTAGTGGAAGTGGTGGCGGTGACTGCTGTGGTTGTCCCGCCTGAGCCACCCGAGCTGGGGAAATAATTTTTCAGGAGACTTATGTAGTAAATATAGCCTGTGCCAGAAGGAGGCTCGAAGCTGTACATGTAGTCTCCCCACCATGGTCCAGCTGACCACCAAGATGCGCCAAGCCAAACATCACTGTTCGCTTGCAAGTAATCAAGCATACCTGTCACGGCACTTTTGCAGACAGAATTAGGACCCCCAGCAAATTCACCTAAGAAGGCCTTCTTGCCATTGTCCTTAAGCCACTGCGTGGCAGCCACAACTCGTTCTTGGCCGATAGTTGAGCTAACACAGGTTTCTGATGTCCCGGAACCGTCAGAGTCAAGATACTGATGCATCTCATAGATAATCAAGTCTTGTGGATCTGTCAAGGCTTTCATATTGTCATTGACCGTTGGCCATGTCCATGCACCGCTCCATGAGTTCCCCTCCACAAAAATGTACTGCGACTTGGCTCCTGCAGCTCGGATAGCGTTGATAGCAGCTTGATTTAGGTCCAACACCAGGGTTTGCTCTTCCGAATTGAACTCATTGTCTACAAAGTCAGTGTGCGTCTTTAGGGCTGGAATAGTGTATCTCACTTGTGTCGAAGATGACCTTGTCATTCGACGCGAATTCAGATGCGAGCGTCGTCCAAAATGCAGCAAAGTCGCTAGTCGAGGTGATGATATTGTCATAACTATATATCGTTAGACGAATACTCCACGCAATGCAACGGAACTTACTATCTTCCAAAATTGTGAGGGTCAATAACAGCATATCCACCGGTAGACGTGATATAGTTGACAGTCTGTTGCAAAATTGGCATCAATCTTTGATGTATGGGAGGTTACACCACATACGCTTTTCAATGCAGCCAGGTAGGTCGGATCCGCACTCGACGTCAGAGTTCCTGGAACCAACCGCTCCATTGAGAAGGGAACGCGGAATAGGTTCATCCCTTGACTCCTCAGAGCTTGAATGGCCGAGGTCGATGGCCAGATATAGTCAGTGCCCAGTTCTCCTGGAAAGTTTCCACTCCCAAACTCTGCGCCAGCTTCGTTTGCACCGAACCCTATCCACGACCTGGTCAGATATCCAGTTTACATTAGAATCGTTACACTTCATACAAACAAAGGAAGATGTTCTTTTTGATAGGGACGGTCCTGGTGCTGCCATCACCAGGCCTGTAACTCCAGCCATGGCAATGAAAGAGGTATACCGCATTTTGGTAAGGTGAAATTTCTCGAGGACGCTATGGAATGTAAATTCATGAGGAGGCAAAATGCGGTTTATATGAAGTTACTTTAGACAATAACGGCAAGGACCGACCTCCCTGATCACGAATGGCCCCCTTACGACTGAAACTGTGAAGCTTTGGTAGTGCAAACATTTTCGCCCGGAGAGACGGAGAATTATCTTCACGTTCTCGATTAGGTTTTTTTGCGGACCGCCACCCGAGTTAGAATAAGTCTGAAGAATGAATATCTGAGAAAAATGTATTCCGGATTCGGCACGGCTTTACAAGTAAGCTTGGTGGCTGGAATGTCGGAGATTTGAGGTGATATGGGAGGGCGCCACTGTAGTAGACTGAAGAATGAAGCGCAATATAGTACTCCGGAAAGTAAATATGATAAATTAGTGTCCTATATTACCGACAGCATTGCCAAGCCCCCGACGCTTGTCAGACTACCCTAGCTCGTTTCAGGGGATACATCCGGGTCTAACGGGGAAGGATAATATTGACCGGGATAATATCGATTGGGGTAAGATTGACCAAGGTATTAAGGACCTGATTTGTTCAAATAGATTAACACTAGGCCGCTCGTCCTACCAAAACTGTAAGGATTATGGGATAAAACACCAGATACTAAACAGGAGATGATCATCGGCATTAAGAGGAGTTCGCATACAATCCCTGATGATCGAAATGCTTGACTAATTGCTAATTGCTATGTCGCTTCAAAGTTGTATATACATGTAGAATATTTCTTTTTCTTCCCCAGACTTAGGCAGAGTATAGTCTCCCCCGCATATGCAATTTCCCCACGAAATCACCGGACGTGCACTAGTTGCATGAAATCAGCCCATATAATCTTAGCGTGTACTTGAGAAAGAGGAAGCGCCCAACGTGCAGGCGAAATCAAGGTGGCTTGATTAGTCGGAGCAGTCTCCGGTTTCTGGCTTCTTCAGGGTGAACAAGGTGTAGCGCCACATGCACCAGCTGGGTCTGTGGATAATGGGATATGCCCTGCAGGACTTGTTGGCTTAAAGGGTTCCTTAGTGCTGACATTGGAGTCAACGGGCACCGGTTATTCACGGGAGCCGGATAAATTATTCTTACTTTTAATATCTTCAATTTGACGGAATTGGGTTGGAAGCCGACACTGATGGGAAGATAACAGTAACAGTAGGGAATTTGGTTATACCAAAGTGGATATTGTACGGGGGAAAAAAGAGACTGTTCGAGAAGGCAAATAGATGAGATCATACGAAGGTAATATGAAGTACAATATGGTATTGTGCACGGTGTATACTATTTAGAACTGTATAAGAAGAAAAGGAGGCTGTAAAAGTCTACTATGGGGTGATCACGTATGAAAGGATCAAAGACAAATGAGAGAACAGGTTAGAACTAGAGAATAGAAAATAAACATAAACATGGACTTCAATTTCAAAAACCAGAATGAAACTCTTAAATTCAGAAATCATGTCAAAAGTACAATCAATCTAACAGACACAAATTGATCCAATCATTCCCAAGCTTCTTGTCTTCATCCTCCATTCTCCAACTTTCCAATCAACTCTTTAAGAGTTGCCTATCTACAGGCACTGCGAGTAGTATTCACTCGACTTCTTGCAGGTAAAGGGGCTGATACAGGTGGTTGGACCAGTCCAGTTAACCCCACCGCACTGCGCATACTGAGGAGCGTCGGTGGTGCTCGGTCCAGTGGTAGTGGTAGTAGTGGTGGAGGTAGTTTTGCTTGTGGCCTTGGTGGTGGTAATTGAGCTTGTGGCCTTGGTGGTGGTAGTGCCGGAGCCTGGGTCGGTCGAGTCGAAAGTCGAACCGAGAGGACCGACCTTGATGTTGGAGTAGACAACGTAGGCGTTGGGGTGGTTGGCTTCAACATCGACAGGGTCGCCAGAGGAAATGTCGCAGCTACCACGAGCAGCACCGGGAGTAGTAGAAGAGGCGTCAGTCGGGAAGGTGCTGTCGAGCCACAGCATGTTGGCCGAGTGGTCGTCCCAGAGACTCATCACCAGAACCATGCCATCCGCAAGACCTGCCCCCATACCGGCCATGCCACCATGCTTAGTGAATACATCCGTGTCCTTGAAGGCGGACTTCTGAGCATTGCAGAAGGATTCGGTGATAGAGTTGCCAGTGACAGCGTCGACTTTCGACACAGACTGGGGGATAACCTTGCCATCCTGCACGTAGAAGCGCTTGATTTCCGAGAGGGTGCCGGTGGAGGTACCGTCATCGGTGATGAACTGAGTGACCACAGTGAAGGGGGAGGTAGTATCAACGATCTTGTTCGGACCAAAGAAAGACTGGTCACCCATGCGATAGGCGTTGAAATCACATCCATCAGGGTCACAAGTACCACCATAGCGGTCATCGCTGTATGTGCCGCCACAGGAATCTCCGGTACACCTAGTCTGGGCTGGGTCATCGCAGGGATGGGGCGTGAATGCCGTGGAGATTGAGTTGGCCTCCCAAATATCCATCTCGGCACAGCAAGAGCCGTAATCACCAGTACCAGCGTTGGCATCGTTGGGAGAGGGCACCCACCCATCAACGTTGGCCTCGCCGTTGATAAACTTGAGGTCACGGGGGCATTGCGCATCACAGTAACCGGTACCGTACTTAGCACCGGCCTTGTTGGCAGGGTATCGTCCCATGCCACCATCTTCGTCCATAGACACGAAGTAAAGCGCGCCGTTCAAGCCGCAGGGAAGGTTCGAGACATCGACATCGAAGGTGAACTCCTGATTGAGAAGCTGGAACATTTCGTACTTTTCATCATCCGCCATCAGGTAGAGACGCGAGCCAATGTTCTTCTGAGACGCCTGGGTGACGAAGTTCAGTCGCAAAGAGCTGCCGCTGGCCGTAACACCATAAGTGCCCGGGTAATCAGCACCTTCTAGGGCACAGTTCTTGGCACAAGTGACATCGTCTGGGCAGATAGTGGTATCCCATTCATTGCCAGTGTAGCAATTGGTGGAGCCGGTAGTGCTGTGAACCCAGCGCCAGTTGGCATCGACGACAACCTTGCCGCTTTGGGAAGTGCAGCTTCCTCCAGCAGCGCATTTTTGCCATGTCAAAGACGGATGGACTTCAGGCTTGTTTGTGCCCACCTGCTGTGCGTGTGCAGCCCCGAGAAAGGCAGCCAACAGCAGGGCATTTTTGTAGATCTTGAAGGAAAGAGCGGAGGCCATGATGTCCAATGTCAATGTGTACCGGGTTGAGTGAGGTTTTGATGAATTGATGAGGAATTGGAGACTCACATGGACATAGAGTCCCTTTTATATTCAATGGGATAAAGTACTCATATTGAGCTTCATGTCACGGCTCTACGGTCCGTATGACCGTATGACGATAAAGTATCATATTTCCTAATGGAGAAGTGCAAGAAACACTCCGGGGACACGGAGGGCGTTCCCCAGACCCCGCGACAGGCCTCACAAGTAGATGCAGTGAGTTTGTGGAGTGAGGCGCCCTGGGTCTTGGTGGCACACCGCAATGCCCGTGAAGATTACATCCATCGCTTGAAGAGAAAAGGTGTGTGCTGCCCGTCAGACTAGGCACCGACAATGCAACTAGTTAGATTGAATTGAAAGCCATTGGCGGCTAAATTGCCAGCCTCCAAATTAGGTAGGGACAACGCCATGTCGTCTACGCCTTGGGAGAAATGAAACATGGCATATCCGGATTAGTAAAATACCTCAGATCCGTGACCAGGTAGTCACTCCCCGGATTCTGCAGAAAGTAGATCGCGGGGGCAGACTTCCAACTCTCGGTAATTTGCGTTAGCTGCACTAGCTGGGTGTAGTGCATTAGCGTATCCAAGGCAATTTGGTTTAATCACGAGCAGGAATCCAATGCCGAGCACAGGCCTGCTGCTAATTTGTAGTCTCATGACACTGGTGTAGGTGAGATGAATGTATAATTTTGGTGCCGAGTGGCTTTTTTTTGGTCGCGCGAGAGAAACGGCTATGCAACCCGGCGATTTATGAAATAAGACTGTCGAATTGACATTTTTGAATCGAATTTAAGTCCAAGTCCCAAAGGTATGGATCAAGGGACGAATAGATCAAGTATGAAGATCGAGGGAAGATCAAAGTGAAGATCAAAGTGAAAGCCGATCCACTAGGCGGCCACTGGGGTAGGTGGGAAGTTAATGCCGACAGATGAGTCATCGCCGAAACCGGAAGTGGGAATCACAAAAAAAAAGAATCGCAATTTCTCTATATCCTTCTAGACATTTTGAAGGAATATTAGCGGATTCAACACCGTCCTTTCATTTAACATGGCTTCTAGCTTCATTTTAACCCTCTCCGGCCCTGACCGTCCCGGTATCGTCCACGCGGTCACTGCATTCCTCGTGCAGAACAACCTCAACATTATCGATTCGTCGCAATTCGGTGATCCTGCCTCGAAGCGCTTTTTTATGCGCACACAATTTGCGATTGCAAGTGGCGATGAAACTCCCGAACTTGAGAAGCTGCGCACTGCGTTCGAGCCCACTGCTCAGTCATTCTCCTTGAACTTCGAGATCAACCCCACTGTGAAAAAGCCCCGCGTGCTGATCATGGTCTCCAAGATTGGCCACTGCCTCAACGACCTGCTATTTCGCCAATCCACTGGCCAGTTGAGCATTGAGGTGCCTTTAATCGTTTCCAACCACCCGGATTTCGCTACCCTCGCGGCCACCTATAATATCCCATTCCACCACCTCCCCGTCACCGCGGATACCAAGGCGCAGCAGGAAGCCCAGATTTTGGAATTGGTGGGCCAACACAACATTGATTTGATTGTGTTGGCTCGGTATATGCAGGTGTTGTCCCCAACCCTGTGTTCCGCCATGTCCGGTCGCATTATCAACATCCACCACAGCTTCCTGCCCTCTTTCAAGGGTGCTAAGCCCTACCACCAGGCCTACGACCGCGGTGTGAAGATCATTGGCGCCACTGCCCATTTCGTCACCAGTGACCTAGATGAGGGCCCGATCATCGAACAGAACGTCGTTCGGGTCAACCACGGCATGAGCCCCAAGGAGCTGACCCATGCCGGCAGCAACGTGGAGAGCAATGTGCTCGCCACTGCTGTCAAGTACGTGACAGAGCGCCGTGTGATCTTGAACGGCCACAAGACTGTTGTCTTCAACTAAGATATTGAGTCTCTACCAACTCTGTGGTTTTATATTCCCATATTGCACATTCGGCCATCTTTAAATCATCCCCTTCAATCCTTTCTGTGATACTTCTATGATCAAGATTATAGGCCATGGGACTACCAAGAAAAGAAAACCAAAACCAAAATAGATTTCAAGCTCCAATGTATATATATCTATATATATAAATAGTCTGAAATACAATGACTCATTGGACTTCACAGCCCCAAACCGTAGGGCTGGCAGTACTCCCAAGGTTATAGTGGTGCCTTCTATCTTAAGAATTTCTTTTTCCATCTCTTGATTGTTCATCGTCCATCGGTTTTGCTTTTCCCCCCCTTCCCGTAAACAAGCGCTCAGGCGTATTCGTATTTGGCGGGGAAGATAAAACTCAACATCTGCACTGCCCAAAGAAGGATTCCATTTCCTATCTATTTGTCCAACTAAGATGACTTATACTGTTGCTCCTCATCTCGAATACTTCACCATCCCTCTCAAGGACTTCGCCGCCGCTCGACCTGAATTTGAAGGGCTTGGTGTTGGCGCTTACATTTTCTCTCATGCCGATCCCACCCCGCGTATCCTTCTTCTTCAGCGTGCACTCACAGACTCAATGCCTGGCTGTTGGGAGGGCCCCGGAGGTGCATGCGAGCTGGAAACCGACAAAACATTACTCGATTCCCTTGTGCGCGAAACGCTAGAAGAAAGTGGATTGCATGTGTCTCACATTATTGATCTCGTCGCGGTGGATTGCTGGGAACATCATCGCCATAATGGTGGCAAAATCCGTATTGCTAAGTACTCGTTCATTGTCGAGGTTCAAGAGACCTTGCGATGGTCAGGTGGAAAGCAGCAATCGGTGCCAACACTCCAAATACCTGTTCAACTGGAGCGATTGGAGCACCAGAAATTCGACTGGGCGATAAAAGAGGATGTTCTGCTTTCTGTTCAATCCCCCAACTGTCCATACAGGTTCCCATTGCCCTTAATTGGCCACCAAGCACCTAATATCCTCCGGGCTTTTGAATTGGTTGAAGAACACCAGGGCAAGAAGTGGACCGTGGATCTCGCGGAGTGAAGTCTTAAAGGCCTATCCATAGCACATCAAACTCAGCACGCTCCTCCCTTTTTTTTACCCAGCTGTGATGAATGTTTGGAATTGGGATTTTAAATCTCCCTTTCCCACTTGTCTTGGTTATTTGGGTTTTGTGTCTCATTTTTTACTAGAGCATCAAGTACAAGACGCGCACAACCACCACTTGTATAGGTGAAATTAGTATGCAGCAAATGGGGTGGGGGGGTAATGGACGATAAGTATTATTAAAAAAAGAAAACAGCTACTTCGTGACGGACATGATATATACATAAACGAAGACACAAACCCGATCATCGAGAGGATCCGTGAAGAACGAGGACACCGGAGTTCCAATGCCCAGTAAATCATATGACAAGTGAACCCTCGGCTGGGTTCATGGATTTGCTCTAGCAGTGCTGGAACTGGATGTGGATGACCTAGGCGGGACTTCACCAGGCATCGGCTTGCGAGCCCACACTCTTCTCCTGTACTGGTCAGTAGATGCGGAACTTGAACCATAAAATCAGAACTTACGCTTTGTGATACGCATGGAAATAAGGATTCTTGAGTTCACTGCGTAACTTGGCACAGTATACATGGACTTGTTCCTTAGTCCATGGCTCGGGGTCTCCAAATTTCGTTAGCAGCCACATGCACCACCCCTCCATACCAGACATCCAGTGCTGGGAATTGACCATGCCTGCTTCCTTGAATTTTTGGTCTCTGGGCCATGGTCCGATTGGCCACTTGTAAACCTTTTCGTGGACGTCCACAAATCCTGCGCTCTTGATGCTCTCCGACATGGTGAGGACGATATCGCAAGAGCGACCAGCGCTCTCACCGCACGTTTGTATAAGTGGGCCCCACGAGGACAAAGCACTGTCAGCTGGGAGACTCCCATCATCACTTGTGATAAAAGGGCCGACCTCGATCTGCTCGATCCAGCCACCAGGGGCCATTTTGCTATTATACGATTAGATTGGCCCAAAGATACTCGGATCTGTCGATAACCTACTCAAAGCAGTGCTGGTAAACACGATCCCACTCGAGAGAGTCAAATGATCCGATCATATTGCGCATGTGAATTAGATCAAATTGTTCGCGCCATGTCCATTCTTGTAGCACATCATCGACCTCGATGACACAATTGGGTGGCATCCAGGTGACCGGAGGAGGGAAAAGGTCAACTCCTCGAACAGTCGCATTCGGGAACATATCAGCGACATCGCTAGGAATGATCAGTATTTAATATTTTCACTGGGGTCGGAACGGTCCGGCGTACATGGCCCAAGTGCCCTTTCCGGTTCCAATATCGAGAACCTGTAGCGGGCATTCTCGGTCGGCCCCGATGGGTGATCGAAACAGTGGATTTGGTTGATCCGAATCCATGATGAGATCCACGAGATGTCTGCCACGATGGTCAGGAGCGTGTTCTGAATAAGGATTGGACTATGTACCCTGCCTCATAGGTCTCAAATTGTTGCTCATCAGACGGGATACTGTAAAGAAATGAGTCCATGTATGTTCTTGTGTGATATTTCAACCGCATACCAATATTCTTTGTTTGAAAGCGATTGATATCTATTTTTTCTGTTAGATATCACTAAGTGATCCAATCTGTGAAGCTCTTACCGCCTGCCGTTGTCCATCAAACCACGATATATTGATGATTTAATCGAGGTTGTCTCCCTAATGCGGCGTAAGGAATGAAGTATAAGATATCCAACAATCACATGCAAACTCACGAGTGCCAGTCATCGGGGCTATAAGCGCTCTCAGGAGCGTACAAGTCTGGATCCACAGCGATGGGCTCCATGCTTTTCATCATATATCAACAAATATACCTGGAGACTGAAGGAAAAGAATATATGGGGGAGTATAAGGAGAGAGAAGAGAATAAAGCTCTGGAACACTAGAGAGACCAACCTTGGAAACGTTAATATTACATAACCCGTGGGCCCCCGGTTCATCCATGGATATCTTTTGACTTTTCCGGTAAGGGGATTGCTGATTGGCTAACAAAACCGCAACCTCTTGACGCTTTCCTCAACTGGGTAATTTCGTCAAACCTACCTGGAACCTGCTCCCGTGTCCCGCACGGAAGAACTCTCAGCTTTCCCCTGGATCTCCTATTGGCTTATTATTCACGTACTTTATTTTCAACGGGTATACTACGTATGTATTCTCAAAGATGTATTCATAGTTATCTGTGCAATTTAGAGTCGGAATACTCGGGAACCCTCTGATAAAATATTACTGACAGGTCAAATTCGAATTTAAATATCATCTTAGAACCCCCTACACTACCCCGTGGATATGTGACCAATTTACCAGACTTATACTGTAGGTCGAGCTGCACGAACCTCTCAAATGATAATACGCTCGACTCAACTACCTACTTGCGATGTTCCCAGGGGCCAACTTTGATCAGATCGTAATAGACGAGCTGTTTTGTTATGCCGAGGCCGAGTTGTAATGCGGCAAAGCATGGACCCCGTCATAAACGCAACCTTGAAAATTCATGTATGTAACCCACGGCGTCTGCACATCAAGGTTCATTCGGTATTGCAGTACCCGTTTTCGAGTGGTGTATCTTGTGAATGACTACAATGAAACTGTGCAAGCTCTGTATAACCTCTGTGAATTAATATTTGAGATTCATTGGCCCTTGGAAAGTATCGACCAGGAACGATGCCTGAAGGCAACCCATCAACTCTTGACCAATTTGTTCAAATATTTGAACAGACCCGGGGAATACATATTGACGTTACAAATGGTCAGCATGCTTGAACCCATTTGCGCCACTTGTTCTGAGCAGGATTGGTAATCTCTCTATTGGGCTTGAAGAAACTTGCCATTCCAAACAGAATGCCTTACAAAACCTGGAGTATATCGCAACAATTTTTCGCACCGATTTTACGAGACAGCGTGAGGCTGATGTCCTGACCGATGTCCTTGGGATCTGCTACCAGCCAACCATGTTAGGCGGCCTAGGAATACACAAACAATATTCTCTCATAAGCCAACAGGAATCGGAAATATTGTTTCTTGTGGATGCGTGGCTGTAATCACTTAATCAAGCCGACAGAGAAAAATCAATCCCTTGCCTTCTAACACAAAGGCCGAAAGGCCGCCGAGGAATGACTATGAGTGAAAAGATATTTGAGATGCATGATCTGAACCACCAAGGATTTGTGGTTCCAGGCGACATAATTCGTATTCGTGTTGATTAGGTACTTGCATCTAAGATATCTTGGGCAGTAGGTTTGCGTTTAGAGGCACCGTAAGATGCGGGCTGATTGTGAGTCTCCAGGGAATGGAAAGCACCTATAATCTGTTTGGAAGACCGGAATACTCCGAAACAATCGCTTCTGGCTTTCTGGGGACCATGTCGTTGATCCTAGGGTCAACGATACGACACTGAATTCTACCGAGACCGCGCGCAACCCGGAATGTTGGTTGTTGGGCCGGACTCACACACATGTTCATCAGGTACAGTGGGCTGTCTCGCAATTGGACTGGGCGCTGCGGATGTCACTTTGCCATTGGTAACTGGGGAAACGTGGTTCAAAGTCCCGGAAGCCATCAATATACGGCTAGTTGGAGCACTAAAGCCAGGGATCGGGGGTAAAGATGTCATTTTGTATATCTTGCAAGTGTTAAAATGGAATACTATAGCATCCAATAGAGCCGTGGAGTTTACAGGCCCAGCACTCAGGCGTTTATCCGTTGACACCCGCTTCTCAATTTCAAATATGACCGCGGTATGTCATAGCCATAAAGCAGTTCGGTTAAATTTACTAATGTCTGACAGGAACTTGGTGGCATTACTGGCCTATTTGTGCCAGATAAAAGCAGCCACAATTATATTAATAGACGCAAACTTACTCGCCACAAATGCCACGCGACATACTTCAAACCCGACACCGATGCGAAGTATGCCGCAGTCCATGAGATCGACATTACAAATGTTGGAGTCTTTGATTGCACGGTATCCCAAGCCGGATGACGTGGTTCCAGTTACGGAAGAAGAGGGAATGGAGCTGAACGGATGCTTTATCGAGGCCTGCACTACCACCGAAGAAGATCTGATTCTCGGTGCTCTAGTAATGGAACAAGCAATTAAAAGAGGATTAAAGCCTACGGCAAAGGGAAAGAGAAGGGTCGTTCTCGGTTTAATGCTAATACTACATCGTTTACGTGAACTAGGGTTTTGCGATAAAAACTCAGATGCAGGCTTTGAGATCAGCATGCCCAGGTGCAGTTATTGTGTCGGCATGCCAGCCGATCAGGCCGCGGCAGGAGAGGTCTGGATCTCCTCTCAGAATCGAAATTTCGAAAACCGGATGGGGAAAGGTAACGAGAACCCCTCAATGCCATGAAACAATCGATTGAGACCACCTTATTTAGGGTCGATTGGTCATCTCGCATCTGCAGCTACTGTCGCAGAATCATCCTTTGAAATGAAGCTAGTCGATCCCAGCGATTTGCTTGCTGCAATCAATTTACGCCGATGGAGCCGCCTCAGGACTGCAAGTATAAATTTCAATGCAATCAAATTAAAGAGCGATCTGGCATATGTTGAGCCATGTGATTGTGGCGATCATCCCAGTGCCATGACCCAAGGATAGAAACAAATGGAGAAAGTGCGGCCAGATAAAGATGCAGAAGGATTGAAAAAGAGGTTCCAAGGCAGGGTGCAAAGTGCCAAAGCTAATGGTAGTCTTCAAGCTGGCCCCTGCTAAGTTTCTGATTCACATGAAAGATAACCAGGATGTTGGTATGTGTTGTCTGGTCCATGCACATCCAAAATTCCGTGAACGAGCCCAGCAGGGGTTTAATATTGTTGTTGGTGGTAAGGGCTTTGGTTGCGGGTCATCTCGCGAACAAGCACTGATGGCATTGTTAGGCAAGCGAAGTCCACCAATCTTATTAAAACGAACACAATTTTTTTTTATCAGGGGTTGCTTTTAGGATGCGGTGTTCAATGTGTCATAGCCAAATATTTTGCGTTCATCTTTCAACGCAACATGCCAAGCCTCGGGCTCCTAGGCATCACAGTGGAAGATGAATCCTTCTTCCAAGTTGCGAATGATGGTATTTGAATCTCCATCGATTTGAATTAAAGAGTCATCGAAGTCGGCGATAAGATGTTTGTATTCAAACTCAGTGAAATGGAAAGCGAGATCTTTCAATTTGGTGGAATCGCTTCGGCTTTTGACCTCTTCGGAAAAAGGCTACTGCAGGCAATAATCCCAGCAAAATTCCCTTCAAGCCAGGAAAAGAAGACAGTAGAACTGCCGGATAAAAGGTTAGAATGGTGCATATTATACCCAATCTTTCCATTTTGGTCGTTTCGTTGCGTCTTGGTGTGGATTAGGCTCGAACAGATTCAAGAAGGGAGGTCATCGCCGAAAGCGTATCTTTGCTCTAGGAGCCATTTTGGCTAGTGGACAAACAATTATGGCCAGGGAACACGGGGAAAGAAGGAGTTCTATTGACTAGCTATAAAAATGGAGCGTTGAAAGGATCTAACTTATCAAGTCGTCCGGAAGGAGGAAATAGGCTGCTACCATCTCCCATAGCTAGGCCCTCAGTAATAATCAATCAAATTTGACCTGCCTAGTTTTTATTCCCATTTTCAGTAAATCAGTGCTTACGCCTATCCGGAGAGGAATACTTCTCGGCTATCGAGAGCATAGTCTTTTTTTCGTAACTTAATTAGACTCCGGTAGCAGCATTTTGTTTCCTCGTGTTGGACGAGATAATTTCCCTGAGTGTCAAGAGGTCCAGGAGTTGGTCATTCGTGCGATAGCCGAAAGCAATACCGAATACGCACAGAGGTACAAGGTCAATTTACTTGAAGAGTCAACCAATGTCCACTACAATTGTGTATTAAGTGGTTGTGGCACTAGTCAGCTTTTGGAGCTACTCACAGGACACATGGATAGACCGATTGCTGCACACAGATACCCCCACCCGTCGGATCGTACGAAACCGAGGGAGAAGAGCTGTGAGATTAGTACCAGCGGACACAGAGTTAGCGGCAATATTTGTTCCTAGCTGTGTCAGAGCAAAGCCAGCTACAATAACAACGTTCCCAGGTCGCTCGACAGAGTTTGCATCCTGCAAAAACAAACCAAGAAGAGTAATGGGGGTTCCAAACCGCTTGACCAAATATGACACTCGGCGAGGAGGAAACGATGATCCCGATGAACGACGTGAAATATCCTTACTGTGTGTTTACTCGGTTAATTATAAATGGAAGATATACTAAGCTAGAAGGAGAAGCGAGAGAACATATCAGTACTATATGTCAACTGTCAGATATGGCGCCTCTAGGCCCCATATAATTACCTTAGTTTTTATGTGGTCTAGTGATAAAATATGCTGTATCTTTTCCCACACTATACCATAATGTAAAGAGTAATGTATTAAATACGTCGGTGTTTTCGTGTCTTCCATAAATCAAGAATGCATACAAGAACGAGGAAATATATAGTTTAGATTTGACTTTCCGACTCCTTGCCGGAAAGAAATCTAAATTTGTGCCCAAAGCTTCACACGCGCAATATATATGGGGGTCTAGGAACTCCGACAGAATGCGTGGAATCATTATCTCGCCTATCCCCCTCCTCCCGGGCCCGTGATATCTCATCTTTCATCTTAGACACCTCATCTGCGCAGGTCGGCCCCTCTGAGACCAGGAGAGCGGCGGAATGGAAGGCTGAGGCACCGGTATTCAAATGGAGCAGGCTTATGTTTGATGCCCTCACACCACCTCCAACAATGATTTCTGGAACTTTGTGGTTTTGAAGTTTTCTACCCCCTTGGAGTTGCATTTGATAACGTACTAGTGTTTTCAACTTGTCCACACACTCCATTGCCTTTGTCCCCGAAGGACCACCATTGGTCAAAATCGATGCAAAGCCACACTCCGTGATATCGGCCAATGCGGTCTCCCAGTGGGATTCCGGGATGAGATCAAAGGCGCGATGAAATGTGCAGGGTCGCCCCTGAGCTAGTTGGACAAGCTGCTTGTTGCGGGATACATCGATCCACGAGGCATTTGGATCACGCTTTTGTGGGGATCCAGTCAAAATCCCGAAGACGAAACCGTCAGCCCCGTGGGATTTGAGAGAATTGAGCGTTTGTTTCATCACCTCGAAGTCAAACTCCTTGTAATAGAAGCCTTCCGCATGTGGTCGAATCATCGTATAGATTGGTATTGGGATTTGTGATCTCAACTTTTGGAGAACCGCTGGGTCAGGCGATAGCCCACCGAGATGATAGTCCTTGCATAACCTTGAGGGCGATTAGTGATAGGGCGGAAGAATATTTTACAATCAAAAAATTCATTTTGAGATGACTAGTTCGCGATAAATGCATTAATTGGCACAAATATAAAACTCACTCGATACGGTCCGCTCCTGCTCTCGCAGCAATCACGACCGATTCATGACTGAAACACGCAATTTCTAGAATTGGCAACTGTGGGCTAACGTATTGACTCATGACTTATAATGATTTGTAGTCAGCTTGTGTGGAGTAATGGGATACGTATGGGGAGAGGGAGGTTTTGTAGTGCGACTGGCGGGTCACCTGATTGGTGATCTAGAAGCGAGCCCAAATATCTACGTGATAGGCCGTGATTATTTGGAGGACATAATCTTGTTTTATCACTTAATTGTCGTTCCTGCTGACTCGAATTGAAAAGTTATCGATATTGCTTATATCGTATTTCATCTGAATGATAGGTAGAAGCTGACTTTCATCTAAAATTATAGAAAATACTTTTATAACTAGAACGAGAAGCTATGGAATTGACGCCGAAAATGACAGCTTTTGGGGCCAGAAAGAGCTGCCTTTCTACTTTGGACATCCATCCGCCCCCCCCCTTTGATCGCCTACTGCTCTGTAACACCACTATTCTGCATTCGCCCCGCGATGTCTACCCTGTTCATATCCGTGAAAAATTATAACCGCCGCCATTTGCCAGGAACTGAGTCATTCTTCGGGGAATCCCCGTCCAACGCTCTCGCCTCGGCTAGATCGACGTGCGTCTTGGCGAAGTTCCGAGCTGATACCTTTCGTTGAAACAGGATGCTTAGCTCTGCATAGGTCCGTCCGCTAGGTTCGGGAATACAAAAAGAGGTATAGATCAAAGATAAAACACAAGTACCACCATAGAAAAAGCCTGCTTTCGCACCCCAATTCCATGCCGACGGATTCAGCATATAAGGTGTAATGATGTTGCTGATAATATTAAGGATATTATATGTCATACGTGCCAGCACGATTGACTTGCTGCGGAGACGGACGGAAGGGATCTCTGCCACAAGTGAGTAGCAGACTGGGCCGACGGTGACGTCGTAGAAGAACGTGTGTACAATAAGCATAGATCCGATTGACCAGGCAAGTCGGCTGCCACCGCTGCTGTTCGCTGGGGGTGGGGATCGAGTCTCGGCGACGCCCAGGCCGCCAATCACTAGCAAGAGCGCTGCTAAAATGGCCAAACCCCAGAGGTAAATGGTTCGTCGACCAAACCGTGGGAGCAAGATCCAGGCTACAAATACGCCGACGATACCGAGGGCATACTGTACGATAGACATGGTGAAGGCCTGCTCCGTCGGTAGTCCCGCTTGCTTGTAGAAGTAGGTGGAGTAGATACGGAGGCCCGTCCCGGATAAGATCTGAATACCCCAGCAGCAACAGGAAATCGAGGTGCGGCGTAGATCTACACCACGGAAGCAATCGATATAGTGTGTGCCTGTACCAGATTCCCGCTCTCTCTGTGTCGTCACCACCATTAGTGATATTACTTGGTCGGCGTCAAACTCAATACGGCCGAGCGATGTTAATCTAAGAAGAGCCGCTTTGGCTTCCTCTAAGCGGTTATTGCGAACAAGCCACCAGGGCGATTCAGGGGCGAAGACTATTCCGATCATCAACGGAATTGGCCAGACCCATTGCAGAGCAAAGGGGATACGATAAGACCATTCGTCTGATCGTGTGAGTATTCCTCGCAGAACACCGGCGGCGAGTAGCTGTCCAAAAACCTATTGATATTCAGTTGGTTAGCTTTATTATTTTATCCTTTTCACCTTACGCCCTTCACCCGAAAGACAGAAAGGGAGGGAAGGGAAGGATGTGAGCTTTACCCAGCAGAGGTTCACATATGTGGTGAGATAAGCGCGAAGATGAGTCGGAGTCACTTCGGCCGCGTATGAAGTAGTCAATGTTTGAAAGATGCCCCAAGGAATGCCCATTAAAACCTGGCCAACTAGCAATACCTCGATACTTGGAGCAAAGAAGGGGATGGATATCGTAGTAGTCATGAAAGCCAGCGAGGCCAGCATCGTATTGCAAAATCCGAATCGTTCCGATAGATAACCGTTGATGAGAAGGCCCATGAGCGACCCAACCGAAGCTCCATTGGAGAGGCCAGCTTGCCAAGAAGCGCTGATTTCATATGTGCCATCCGGCAACTCCTGGCCGTATTTTTTCTGGAAAGCGGGTTGAGCAAAGAGAGAACCCACAAGCTTCATGTCGTAGCCTTCCATGATGAGGGCTAAAGAGAGAAACATGGACCATGCGACTGCCTTGGGATATAGCTGGAGGGCCCGCAGAAAGGTGAGTTCATGTTCGCTATGGGTGGCACGACGAGCATCATCGAGAAGGGTGTCTTGGTGTTTCGGGAAGGTTGTATTGTCAATATAAGTCATTTTCAGAAGCAATAATACTAGGTAGGTCCTATAGTTCTATAGGGCAATCCGGGGAAGAGTACGGAAATTGGATGGGTCCAAGGTTTGTGGGTTCCAAGGTTCTTGCCGGCTAAAGGCAACCAATCAGATGACCCATGTTAGATGACTAAACCACCAGCCTTGCCTAGGCCCGGGGAATCTGCCCAATCAACTAACGAAATTCTTGTACCGATTACCAGAAGATTCAGCCGTATGAAAGACGTTGACACCATAGAGCGGATGCCCGAAGGAAAATCATCTTCGTTATTGATCACTCTGATCTCCCCTAGCTTTCGAATACTGCTGTATGCACAAACGAAATTGTCCTTGTTTTTCGTCTTGCGTAACTCTTGGAGCCAACATGGATAGGGCGTGAAGGGAAAGCGAAAGGAGCAAAGAAGACAGGGCGAGATCGTTTCCTTTATGCCCCGAAGAGAGGCTACATGATGTATTAGCTAAAACCCAAACGCCAGAACTAACTCGAAAAGGCAACATGTCCGCCGCTTACAAAATATACTATTTTATTCTCATCTCCCCCTCGACATGTATCAACATGAAGCAAACGCAACTCGGAAGGGGATTTGACGCGATTACTGTGAATCGGAAACGAAAGCTTGCAGTACTTCTTTCCATCTCACATTTATTCACACTTTTCACAAATCTTTCAGTCCATGTCTCGGCCAATTATCGCAATCGCTGGACTTGCTTGTGAGACCTCGACCTTTTCCCCCGCTCGGACACTCGGTGGGGCATTTCACCCGCGCCGCGGCCCGGAGGTGGTCGAGGAGTACGGCTTTCTGCATAATGGCACTCATCTAGCAGATGCTGCAGAGTGGAAAGGAGCACTTATCGGGCATGCCCTGCCAGGCGGAGTCGTGGTACGAGCCGATTTCGAACAACTTTGCACGGAAATCCTGGAGCGCTTGGCTGCAATCGTCGCCTTAAACTCCATCGATGGATTATGGTACGATATCCATGGCGCAATGTGTGTGGAGGGTATGGAGGATGTTGAAGCAGAGCTTCTCCGGCGGATTCGGACTGTTATTGGCCCGGATGTTCTGGTCTCGACATCCATGGATTTACATGGAAATGTGTCCAGAGAGCTGGCCCACCAGACTGATCTGATTACTTGTTATCGTATGGCGCCCCACGAGGATGAGTTGGAAACAAAGGAGCGGGCGTGTCGCAATCTTGTCCATGTCTTGACGTCGCCAACCGACACTGGAAGAGGGAAGAGACCCTTGAAAGCATGGGTCCGAATTCCCATTTTGCTACCGGGGGAGCAGACTTCGACTCGCAACGAACCAGCAAAAGGCCTATACGCGCTCGTTCCTCAAATTGAAGCCATGGATGATGTGCTCGATGCAGCCGTCTGGGTTGGCTATGCGTGGGCAGATGAGCCACGAAACCATGCCGTGGTAATGGTCACTGGATGGAATACGTCTGCTATCATTGGAGGAGCGAAGCGACTTGCATCTTTGTTCTGGCATGTTCATAAGGAGTTCCATTTCGTTGCCCCGACCGGGTCATTCTCCGAATGCATTGACAACGCGCTGGCATCCTCAAACAGGCCTTTCTTCATATCTGATTCTGGCGATAATCCTACCGCTGGTGGATCGGGCGATGTGACCGTCGGCTTAAGTCAATTGCTCATGCGACCAGAGTTTTGGGAAGATACCGGCTCAATTGTGATTTACGCCAGTATCCCAGGACCCCAGGCAATTGAAGCTATAACCGAGGCTGGTGTGGGAAACACGGTGACGGTCACCGCTGGAGCACAAGTAGACAATCTGCACGCTGGGCCTATCACTATGACTGGACGTGTTCACTCCATTAGGTATGGAGATCCCGATGCCGAAGTTGAAGCAGTGCTACAGGTTGGAAGCGTATTTACCATCCTGACCAAATTCCGGAAGCCATATCACCACGAGAGTGATTTTATCGGTCTTGGTCTTAATCCCCGAGCGGCAGACATCGTCATAGTCAAGATTGGCTATCTCGAACCAGAGTTGTTTGATATGGCAGCAGAATGGATGCTTGGTTTGACACCTGGCGGTGTTGATCAAGATCTGCCACGTCTTGGGCACCACCATATCCAGCGTCCACTATGGCCCTTTGATAGAACGTTCCAAACGGCCCCAGATCTCACCCCACAGCTAATTCCATTCTCGAAAGACGACCTGGAGATATGTTAGGAATGAAGTGGCGCAGTTTTCTCTCGGGAGTACGTACATGTCTTTGCTTCCCTCGATTCCTTGACCCAAGAAAGTACCAAGTTGTTAGCATAGTGCACTCAGTCTCAGTATCCATTGGCGGTTATTTTATCATGTGGATCAATCAAAAATTATACGACAATTAATGTTATCGCGACTTTGTAGCATTATTGCTGATCAAGAACGCCACATAATTGTGACTCATTTCAGGTTTTACTTCATATTTAATAATCTTGGACCACGTAAAGAATGAAATACTCACCACTTCAAAAAGAAACTGTTCTTCTGTGTATCCTCTAGAGATTTCTTTCCCCTGGTAATGCCACCTGGGTTGTCACTTTTGTGGGCTTTGCTAACATAATAGTTGAAAACGCATTTCTAGCATTAATTATGGCTTCCGGGCCAACGAAAACTGGCTTTACCACCTTGTCCCCGTACGAAGAAAAGATTGGGTACTACCGCGCCATCCGCCATGGCAATCAGATCTTCGTTTCCGGAACTACAGCGGTTGATCCCCGTTCTCCCACCAATGCACCGCAAATTCTCCACCCAGAAGATGCCAAACAACAGACACGCGTTGCTCTGGAGGAGTGTATTCGAGCTATCCAAGGTCTTGGTGGTAAAGGCCCGGAGGATATAGTTCGTGTTAAGATGTTTGTCAGTCGTCACGAGGACTGTGAGGCTGTGGGACAAGGATTTAGTGAGATACTAGGGAAGCATAATCGCGGTAGAGATGGTATGATAGGAGCGGCTGCAACAATGATCGTGGTCAATGGCGGTTTTATAGATAAGGGAATGCTTGTTGAGATCGAAATAGATGCTATTGTGGAGCAGACTTAAGACTAAGTGTTGGAGCATGTTTCGTTTGGGTCAACAGCGCACTTTCCATCAACACAGGCCCACAGATCAGAACACTCCTCGCTGGTCGAGCATATGACATCTATGTGGCCATTAGTACCAAAGAAACTTCTAGAAGCTATTTGATGTAAGTGAACCGTACCTAGGCAATGACCCTCCTACTCGCACGTTACTGTCGTGTCATCGCCGCAAATTCCATTTACGCACCACCAGGGATCGGAGCAGTCGCTATCGAGAACGCAGGTAGTACCTGCACAATGCCCGTCCCAGGCACATGTAGTAGTGGGTTTGGGTGCCGACGTAGTCGTGGTCGTGGTCGTGGTTGTTTTGATTGTTGTTCGATTGGATGTTGTGGAGGTTTTAGTTGTGGTGCTGCTTGTTGTCTTCAAGGTAGTAGTGGTGGTAGTGGTTGATCCACCCAATCCAGCGGCATCCTTGATATCCGACAACGACGTCCCAATCTGGACTCGGTAGACGTAGGTATCAATCCCCACAGCCTCACCCCGATAGGCACCGAATTTCGGTTCCGTTCGGCCAGGGAAAGTGTTTGCAGCCAACCGAGTGGTTCCAGATGTAGAGAAAGTCTGCTTCTTACCATCGAAGTATAACTCAACCCATCCTGGACTCGCTGTGTTGATCACGATACCGAACGAGTATACTGTATTTGTCTCAAGAGTCTGGGACCATTGATGCTCACGTTTCGCGGTGAATGACGATTGGTATTGCAGGTGAATCTGGCCACCTTTGAACTCCAGACCCAGAGGAATATTAGCCCCGCCGGCTGCAGCATTGTTCGCAGCATATTCCTTGCTTTGGTAATCAGTTAACAGAATGCACCATGAAGTATTCTTTTGAATACAAAGGCAAGAATGAGATGTCAGGAAAAAGAAAAGAAAATGACGAGAAAAGAAAAGACAAACCGTACAATTGCCAGACCATCAAGCTCTCCTCGATTTCAGCAAGAGAAAATTGATATCCAATATAGTATGTTTGATCCGATGCCAACTTTTTCGACAGGGAGTGGTATTCTGCCCGAATATCACCCTTGATCCGATGATAATGCAACGAGGGGATTCCATTTGGGTCTGCTCCAAGCTTGATGTAAAGGTCATCGGTATTGGAAGAAGTGGTATCACCGCGGGCTGCTTCGAGGTTGCGGATGCCAAGAATAGAGGGATTATCCCCACGAGCGGCGGAGAAGTCCAGCAGAGACGACGAGAACACGCCTGGCAAGTATGCCAAAAGGCACAAGTAGAGGTAAAACAACATGCCGAGAGAAATATGATACCTCTGAATTTTGATGTAGAGATTTGGACTGGCCGAAGAATACTTGCCTGAAATACAAAACCCGCCGGAAAATTGCGGCCTCTTTATGGTCACTTTATGGCCCCTTTACAGTCTGTTGAAGGGCATTGCCTCTTTGTGGTCACTTTATGGCCCCATAATGGCATTGCCTCCATGTGGACTAACCTCACATGTGATTCGCCAATCCTGGCTCCCCTATCTAAAACATTGAGCTGGGCCGTCTGCTCCATTACCCCGGAGCTTCTGAGGTTCGTTCATAATGTTTTTACTGGGCTACATAGTGAGAGGGAAGAAGGAAAAAAATCTCTGCTGTTCAATTTATCAAGAACAGGGTCTTTATACACTGCTAGCAAACAAATGCTCAGTCTCTCAAACAATCGTCAGGACGGTCAAATTCCAACACTTTATATTTTTGTATATCACGAACCATTCGTTTCCGCGTCTCCGCCTGCGCCTACAAGAGTCAGCATGTTGGTAAGCACTCCTGGTGTGATTCGGAAAGGATCGCATAATTTTTATTAGTTGGGGATGCCAACTACTAAATACTGCTACATACAGGAGACCAAGGCATCCATGTATGCAAAGACGGCTCTTTACGGGGTAGGGCAACGCACAGGGGCCAGCAGTGCTGTTTATATAGGAAAAGGGGCTTCTGGGATCTCACTAGTCTGGCGTTCCTTGGGGTGGTCACTCTTGTACCCTATAATGATATCTCTGCGGTCTTACGGTGCGTGATGGCCCAAATATGTATTTCATATTGTGGTTCCTGCAAATGTTCTTTTTATAAATCAGGTGTTCTTGCCCTCTAGGATCCTTCGGTAGCTGATAACGCAGCTATCGACGTCCGCATGTGTACAATGCTTCAACAACCATGCGCCCTCGGCGCGACGCGCCTCGACAATGCTCGTTTTTGTGCCGAGGTAGACAGCCGATTTTAGGCTCTTCGCAATACCAACACCAGGGTATACCAGAACACCAAACATAGCGCAACCCGCTTTAGTTGTCATATTTGCCACGCCCTTGCCAATACCTATCACAGCGCCCTTCGCACCATCCTTTCGGATGCCCTCATACGGTTTCACGACCAAATCGCTCATTCCCTCAACCATCCCCAATGCGAAGCCTGTGCCGCCAAGAGCGAATCCGCTTTTAATGCTAGTAACGGACCCGTCGTGCTGTGGCTTTTCGCCGTATAATCGAGGGACATTGCGCATTCCCTCCGTCATAGCGAGCGGGATGTCGACAGTCATTCCTTTCAGTGCAGTGGGCACAAAATTGGCAAGACTTTTCACTGAAGCCCCAGCCATCCTCCCTACAAGCCTAGCTCTATGATACTCAGAGCCCGACGATGTACTTTCAATGGAAACCGTACTTTTTGTATCGCCAGCTCCCTGTTGTGTCTTTTGTAGGGAGCAGTTTCCAATAGAGCTGCTTGTAGGCCTATGCATTACTTGACTGGAGGCACTCGTCAAGGGCCGAACCCTGTGGCTTACTTGGTAGTCTTTATATTCCTCAAAGGGCTTGTAGAACACCCCCAGGACGGAATCAAGGAGTTCTGTCGTTGTACTCATGATGGCAGAAGCTCCGCCTGTGATAGGGTCCCATCGACGATTCTCAATCACAACGGGCTTGATTATATGTCTGCATATTGGTTAGTTTCGTAGGTCCATCAGACCAGAGGCTTCACGTACAATTTTAGTCGTTTTGGATTAACCAACTTTTGTGCGACTAGCGTTGCTGCCGCGACTTTCGACAGTTTTATTTTGATATCGCCCGTGGAATAAGACCACACTGCCGGTACCCCTGGACATATATCACAGGAGAGGCGCTCTAAGGGAAGATGTGAATGGAAGGAAGAGACGGCTGCTTGGACTCCTGTTTCAGAAGCCATCTTGACCGCAAGTGCAGAGGCTGCAGTGACCGCTTGTTTCGTGAAGCAATATCGAATTCCTTCAGCTAAGGTATCAGCATTTAGCTCATGGTGAGGGATAGGGACAGGACCAGCCCCCGCCGCAGCCACCATAGCACCCCAAAACGGTTGACTGAAAGGTAAGCCTCGAGGTCGCTTGAAGTATCATTAGGGGCCAAGTCACTTACTCTCCAAAGAACGGGACAATAATTGTAGGTTTTGCATTCCGTAAGCCACAAGCCGTTGTGCCAGCACCTCCATGATGTACCACCGCTGCCACGTGTTGGAACAGCCACTCATGAGGGCAATCTCCGATGAAATGTACGTTCTCGCTTTTTTTTCCGTCCAAATTCGACCATCCCTTAGAAATGATAACCCTAACACCAGCAGCATTGACCGCGTCAAGAATGGCTGCATTGATCTTCATCGGATCCTCAAGTACAATACTGCCAAACCCAATATATATCGGTGGTGGGCCAGAGGATAGGAATACCTGAAGATCCGCTGGAGGGTCATATGCTGGGATATCGCGGAAGAAGAAACCGCAGACATCTACATATTATGTCAACCAGTCTATCAATGCCTAGTGAACTTCTTCGTGAGGCACTGACCAATATATGACGGCCAGTCCAATGGTTTGGGTATAAGAGCCGGAGACCAACAGTATGTGAATGGGACTTTCAGTATTTCAGCAAGGTGAGGACCTTCAAACATGGCCACTTCATCTAGATCAAGCTCTTTCCGCCATCGATTGACCACATCCCCAACCCTAATAGAATAGATTAGTACGATGTACACGTGTTCGGTTTCAAATGGAACCTTACCCTTGCCATGTAAGCCAGTTGACAAGATTGTACGAGGTATAATTTTTGAACCCCTGGTCTGGACCGCCGGCCTTGAAGTTGGCCAGGGGATGTGGAAAGGACTTGGTACTGCTCCAAGGCATGGTGAACATCAGATGTACCGGGATGCCCAGAGCCTGAGCACAGTGAACATGTGCAAAGCTCGGTGGGTTGGCAATGATAGCATCTGCCACGAATGGGTGGCCAGTTACCAGGTCCGGCTTGATACATGATTCCCAACACCCATCGAGCATTTCCCGTATCATAATGCGCTTGCGACGAATCTCGCCTACCCGAAAACTCTCCATGCTAGGGATGAGCCCCGGGGTCTTGACCATGTATGCCATCAGCTCTCTTGGATCGCCTCCAATTGGGTAAAACTCTAACCCGGATTGGCTGACGAAACTTTCAAACATATCATGTGTGGCTAGACGCACGCGATGTCCATATCGCTTCAGTTCATTTCCGAGGGCAATGAAAGGTTGAACGTCACCCCGACTTCCCACTACTTGGATCACAATGTTTAATTTGGTGACCCAACCTTTTGTAGATTTCTGACTTGGCTCAAAGTGCTCCGATATGCGATCGGGTCTAACGGTCGTTGACCCGGCATTTTGCGTCGATAGTTCAGAGTATTCAGGTGGCGGTGTAGAAGCTCTCAAGAAAGGGCCAGTGTAGAGCGTTGAAAGGCTTCGTACGACCTTTGAGTCCCAGTCGATATCAACGCGGCCGGCATCTATTTCTCGCAGATCATATATCAATAACTCAAACGTCAAGTCCAGCATCAACATACCCTCATGGCGAATAAAAAAGGCGTCCAGACAGAAGTAAACGTACCATTCAAATTGATGCCACCCACTCCAGTAGTTGGGCGAGTAGTGGATGACTCCATCATAGGTTCACCAGGTAGCTCGAAAACACGTCCCGAATAGGCATTGTTAGCCATATTCGCTACGGCGGCGGCGTCTGTCGTAGATGAATTAACTGAAGTCCCGAGACCCAACAAATACCACCGAGTGTAAAAACGAGGGAGAATGGACGCACCTGAAAATGGGATGTGCTCATTGAATTAGGACATTGTGCTTTGATCCACTTCCAATAAACGAATACGGCCCGGCTCTTTCATTTGTTGAATTTCAGCTTGAGTTTAAGCTTAACCCCAAAGGTGGGGCGTATTCGTATACGTTCCACGAAGGTTTTTATCGACCAATTGTGAGGTTTCTTTCTTTCTTTTTTTTGCTTTTGAAATTTAAAGTGGCGAATCTACGCAACATTGTAAACGTGCCAAATACAAAGACCCGAAAATCATTCGAGGGTGGATGCATGACTGGAAATGATAATGATCCTAAAGAAGTATATGAAAATAAATAGAAAGTTAATTACGACGTTGAATTTTGATCCACTTCAAATATACGAATACCGCCCGGCTTTGACACTTTGCTGAATTGAATTGTCCTAGAATAGTACACGTTTTTGCCGTCGGCTTAGGCGGCTTCCGCACTGCCGCGCTTGTTTAACTACTGTATGCACCAGACGTTAGAGTCGAGCGGTTCCTCAAACCAAGGACAAACTTGTTTACGTATAGAGCGATCGTGTTCGTACTCTGCTCTGACACCGGAGTAGATAGACATCGGCCCGCGATGTATCCGGCGCTATGTCGTTGCCTAATCATCGATTGTCCCATCTATAAAGCCCTTGGGATCTGCTACGATATTATTGACAGTTCAGAAACAACCAACACCCTGCCAGACAAAATCATGAAGACCTTTGCCACAACAATCATCACCGCGCTCGTCGTTGCTGCCGATGTCTACGCGTTTCCTAGCACTGGTACCACTCCGCTGAGGAAGGAGGCAAGCAAGAAGGATATTCTTATCGGGTCTGGAGCGATTAACCCTACCTATCTCAATGATCCGGAGTTTGCTGCGGTCCTCGCCAATCAATTTACCAGCCTCTCTCCCGAAAATGAACTAAAATGGTCGCTCCTGAACCCGACCAAAGGGCACTACAACTGGGAAACGCTCGACCGTCTCGTTGAGTTCGCGGAAGACAATAATATGGTGGTCAAGGGACATGGGCTCATCTCAAGCTGCTGTAACCCTGATTTCCTGCTAAACATCACTCACCCTACCGCCTTGCGTGCTGCGATGAAGACTCACTTTGAGGCGATCATGCATCGATACGACGGCAAGATGGATCGGTGGGACGTCGTCACCGAAGCCCTGAAAACCCAAGGAGGTGGCCTGAACAACAATACCTTTTCTCAAGTACTTGGACCTGGCTACGTTGCAGATGCCTTCCGCATCGCCCGAGCAGCAGCCTCAGACGCCAAGCTATTCATCAACGAAAATCTCGTGGAGTCACTACCCGGCAAGCGCCAAGAACTTTACAAACTGGTCTCCACACTCGTGGCAAAGGGTGTCCCGATTGATGGAGTCGCCCTGCAAATGCACATCACCGAAGTAGCCCCGACACCAGGCGTGATCACGGAAATGGTCAACTCCTACAAGGCACTCGGATTGGACGTCTCAATCGCTGAGCTAGATGTTCACACTCTCGACAACGCGGTCGAGACTGATATTTACGGCGCCGTCATGAGCGAGGCTCTCAAAGCAGGAATTACCGACATTAGCTTCTGGGGCTTTACGGATAAGCATGCTTACACCTGGGTGCAGGGCGCAAAGCCATTGATTTTCGATCAGTACTACAAGCCCAAGAGTGAGTTTTACGCCACTCACACTGCTCTCACCAACTTCGTCAACGGGGCCTAAAGTGCTTGAGCGCCATCTAGCCCCCAGAAATTGCGCTTTACAAGCTGCAGTCACATCAATACGAAATTGGTTGTAATCATAGGTTAGAGATCACGACACCTCTGTTCTTTGTTCCCACCATATCTAGTCTTCCATAGTAGTTATTCTCCTTTCTCTCTCCATGTAATAGATTTTCCAGAGAGCCCTTCGTCTTGTAGACTCCTATTTTCTCTTACCTTTGGTCGAAGGTCTCCACCCAAAACCCAACCAGGTCTGGGTCGTGCGGAAGACTAATACGGCATACTCCAGCGCCCTCCGTGCTTGCGTCGGACGAATCAGAGTTTTCATACCCTTTTTGACGATCGAGACATTCTGTAGTTACTGCCCAGTGTTCCTCTTTGGGTTGTTTGTGTAACTCTATACCGAACGTTCCACCTGGTAGAAATTAGCTAGTAAAGAACTATACCACACCTTTAGTGCACTTCCGGTCAAGATTATCACTACAAGAAGTATCTATCAATATACAGAAACGAAGATCCTTCTCTCTAGCTGTATGTTGTGACGATCTACAACGTAGAGACACCGCTTTACTATTGGGACTTCGGCTCGGCTCCACACTGCTTTCGGCGACAATGTTTTTGGAGAACAAGAAAGAAAAAAAATCCAAATTCAAAAAAAAGGGCTCAGGGAATGAAGTCTTAATGATAAACTGTGGACAAAATTACACGGTATTTTGATGATTCCCAGCGACGAAAGGAGCATGTTTAGCCCAGATAGGTTTATGTACATATCAAATGGGTTGGGGATATATAGATTAAAAGAGCAGGAGAGACTCTGATAGAGCATGCAAGAAAGATTGGAATGGGAGAAAGAAGAAAACAAAAATCAACAAAAGTAACTCCAAAAGTAGGCTTAGGAAGCTTTTAGCAGGTTCCTTTCAGGCACCTTTTGCAAACATCATGTGCTGACACCCCATTTTGTACAGCGAGGTCCACTGACCTTTAAATTAGACTTTTTCGGAGCCAGAGATACTTGGCTCTCTGGACTCGACAAAGGCTGAGAACACTCGCTTGCGCATGCCAGTCAAGAAAGCGAAAATTCCGACAAGCCACCAAGAGAACAAGATAGGCAGTGACCGATAGAGAGTCGGATTACAGCCAGAAGTCCAGATATCGACGAGAACCTGGTAGAGCTCGTATGCGGGGATAGCATATCCAATGCGGTAGAACCCAGGAGATAACTCGAACGGACTGAGGGTACTCGAGACATTCACAATGACCCAAGTCAAGATGAAGAAAGGCATGAACTTGATTGGAAGTACCGATGTGACAGAATCGACTATGAGGAAGTTGAGGTGCATGGCGAGCCAGAGGATCACCCAAGTCAGTGCGAATTGACTAGACGTAGTTCCCCAATCTTCTCGGAAGGCCCAGACATAGCCACTCATGCAAAGCGATGCGATGAAGGTGAAGAAAACGGACAAGCTGAGTCGAAGAGCGATATTTGCTTTCAGGGACAACTTTCGAAGGATGTTGGTTTCGGCCGAGATACCATTCAGTGCCATGACGAAGAAGAATTGTGGCAGGATAACCATCACCATCGTGACGGTGTTGTAGTAGAAACGACCACCCTGGTTCGTCGGCTTGATATCAATTGATTCCGCGCCGATCGGATCGAATAAGACCTGGGCAATGTATGTATCCGTGGTGTTGGCTGTTGACATCGCTGTTGTTCCATTCATAGCATTGTAGGCACCTCTAGTTGCCTGAACCAGACCCTGGAGGCTCGAAGACACCACCTGGGCGTAGGATGGATACCTCGCACCATTCCAAACATAGGTCAATGCCCCGGAGCTTTGGTATATTTGCGCAGCTGCGGGAGAGGCAATTGCGGAAGACAGTTGCGAAGAGGCGTTAGGATTGGTGTAAATTGCCCCCCAGTAGTGACCTTTGCAGATGGATTCACGGATATCGTTTGCAGCTGGATAGTCGGTCGATGAATGTTCAATGAGAGTCGGAAAGCCGGGGCTTGCGAGCTGGGTATAGGCAGCTTTGAGTGATTGTCCAACGATGCTTTGGTCGTAATCGACAAGAAGAATTTTCAAGGCCTTCATTCGCTGCCCATCATTGAACGCACTACCGTACAGGTAGCTCATATTTGCCAGAAACAAGAGCTGGATAAGGACAAATGAGCCTCCCACGGCGCCCAAAAAGGGCTTTGGTATTTGCATATCGCGACAGGAGTGATTTTATTTCGGGTTTCGGGTTGAAAAGATAGGATTATTTTCGTATGATTGTGATATATGATTTGATATATGATTAATGATCAATGAGAGGAAAGATTTGAGGTATGGTGAGTTTGAGTGAATCTAGACGATATATACGGACCGAAATGCCGGTGGAGTCGGGTCATGGTCTGTCAAATAATACACTGGTGGAGACTGGTTGTAATATAAAGATCCACTTGTGATCATTCCTATACCCGCTTCCGCTTACACAGCGGAATGGTTTCGAGGTTCCAGACACAATACGGGAAGATGTTTTTTTTTATCTCGTGTGAAGGTTGTCCTTTTCTAACTCTGCGGGGTGTTTTTGGGTTGCGCGTAGTCGAACCAAAAGTTGTTCATAAATCTTGCTGATCCCCCACCACCTGAGTGTCCTCATCACGGAAATTGATTCGTCCAGGAGCTTTCCCAGACCTGATGGAGACGAGATATTTCCAACTCCTGACATTTTGATGCGCCCTCGACCGGTCTCAATCCACTGGGTCTGTTTCTCATTACCCTGGTTTGATGTCCCTATGACAACAGAGGTCGTGTCGGAATAGTCCTGTGGCTGGCCCAAAATAACAGAATATAGCCACAAAACTAATGCAGCTTGGAACAGAAGCACTGGAGTGGAGTAATGCGTGCAGTTGGTAGATCGGACAGTTTCAAACAAGTCTGCCGCATACACAATAGCTTGCCTTGTCTTCTGGGGGGATGAGCTCCAGTCCCTTTCTAGTTGACCCAAGTCTGAATTGCTGTATCGCTTGTATTTGACTTTCAACACGGTCGACAACAAAGGAATTTTCGGTAGATCGTTCATCATCAACGCGGAGAGAATGATGATCCGATGAGCGCTAAGAGCCTTCATTTCGTTCATGGGAAGCTCTTGCCTTTGGTGATATGTTAGTATAAGGATTTGCCGTAGTGCATCTACAGCTGCCGTGCAATCCACAACCGAGACATAAGAGGCAGAGTATAACGTCTGGAGGCGGTTCTTTTGAATTGTATGAAATAATTGCTGTAAGATGGCGCTTTTCCCGAGCACTCCTGTCTTATTCCATATTGCAGTACAGCTTGCATTAGATACTAGCTGAAGCAGAGTCTGCGGGGACTTGGTTGCTAGTTGCATTGTTAGATAGATACAGCAATCAATGAGATTTTAAATTACCCATGCGAGCTGGAAAGCCAGCCCAGGCTTGTGCAGTGGATGCCAGCCATGGCTTTTCCTCTTGAGGCAAGGAGTTTTGCATCTCGTGGACTCTCATCACAGAGGTGAGGTCAAAGTCGGTTTCAAAAGCTGAATCGATCAACTTGATTTCAAAGTTAGTACGACAAGGCCGACGTTGATTTGCGTTAAAAGTATTTATCCACTCACCCAGATTGCAAAGCCAGTTCGCCGCCTCTCTTCGTCAAGAGTCCAGATCTGCCATTTCTGGTCCAGCGGTAGGTCAAGATGAGATACCCTTTCATGAGGTAGATAGTTCGTGAATAAGCGTTTCCGACGAGCCAAAGTTACAGGAAGTGCTTGCAACAATTCAGCGATTTCAAGAGCCCTTCGTTCCCCAGAATACCGTAAGGCCAATTGATTAAGCAAGATGACCTGAGTCAACCAGAGCTCACGGCCATTTTGATTACGATTTTCACACTAATGGGCCGTTAGTATCGCATTAACTTGCTTCTTACTGTGAAACACCATTCAAAATGCCTTACCAGATATGATGTCGACCGCCGGACGATCTCATTCATCGCCCTTGAACAAGCTTGCGATTGGGGCAACCCGGAAAATTGAGCCCCAATGGCGCTAACAGCAAATATGAGCAGCCAATGTGTGTCCGAGGTTCCAAAGGACGGCTTGTGTAGGAAAGGAAATACTGGGTGAAAATGTTCGAAGTAGAGCTGCACCCAAGCATTGATTACATGGGAAGGCGGCATCCTCAACTCAACAAAGCTTGGAAAAGTTGATGTCGTTTGGATTGTCAATGCCAACTGGGCCATCTGGCCGACGACAATATTCGAGATTTCAGGGACATGCGCCAGGTTCTCTTGATCCACTTCCTCCATGGGGATGTGTTCCATATCAGGGAATGACAACTGGGCATCGAGATTGATAGAACTAGGCTTGTATTGCCGCGGTTCCATAGCTTCTCCTTCCAAGGTCGGTGAAAGACTGCGGTTGTAAATTTCAGCCACCTCAGCGGGAGTCAAGGGCGTGGGAGATACAGGGGTCACAGTCGCATGCCGTTCAGGCTCTTTCAGTGCCGGCCAAAGACTATCGGATCGCTCGACTCCTGGATTGAAGTCAAACAAGCTCGGGAAAAAGTTCATGTCCAGGTCAAAATCCGAAAGGTTCTCCAGCTCTGTTCCTTCTGAATTGAACGGTTGAAAGCCCTCGTATATCGTAGATGGTGTATCCCCAAATGTCCCATTATCAGACATGCTTTCAAATGCTGTAGATGTTACATGGCCCTGGCCTGGTTGGGCAGTGGGTGCTTCCGCTACAGCAACATTTGCTTTCTTCCGGGCTGATTGGCCGTAATCCTCAACATGCTGGAAAGGAGATTCAGCCAAAAGCCTTTTCGACGAGGTATTTGTCGTAGCCGGGGTTTCCAAGATTTTGCGCTTTTGAGAAGCTTCATAATAACAGTCTGTGCCGTTATTTCGGCAACGATGACACGGTTGTTCCCCATCACACCGAACCTTTGAAATGTTGCACGGTTTGCACGCTTTAGCTATCCGACGGCGATCATCTGTGCGATCCTTACCCTCGAGGGTGCGCTGATGGATTGTGGTATAATGACGTGATAGTGAGTCTCTTCTCGGCTGGTTAGCACGTTAACTTGACATGAAGTCAGCGCTCGAGACCTACACTCTGCCAAAGTGCTGACCACACTCGGTGCACGAGAATGGCTTCGCTTTGGTATGGGTGCGAACATGTCGTTCATAATGTTCTCGCCTTTGGAAGGAGGTTTTACAGATATCACAATATATGTCGGTAGATTGCATTGCCCAGGCAACCGATACGCAGATGGAAGTTATTGGGACAACACGTTCATACTAGTTCATTTTAAAATGAAGTTAGAGGTGAGAATAAGTTGGGAACATGCATTCAACTTGTCTAAAGGGGAGCAATTCTGCCCTTAAGATCGACATTCAATTTCCGCGATCACGTGGAGTATGAAACGCCACACCATCCCCGGAATTACCGTATTACGTTGTACATGTCGCGAAGTTAACGTATTCGGTAAGCGAGCTGGCCATGTAAGCGGGCTGGCCACCCCCAAAACACATAGTAAATATGATAAATTACAACTTGATATCTCAACGCCAATACTTTTGTTTGATTTCACTGCTTGTCGATAGCTATTGATAAGGATTTTGAATACTGTATATCAATCTTAGGGATATCGAAAAGGTACATTATCAGGGTATTAAAAATTACAGTGCTAAAAGCCAGAAATATATATATCCTAACCATAAAGACATATATATTTCCCAAACTCCCTAGGGAGGCTAGATATTACCTAGAAAGCATTAGGATGCAAGGAAATCTCTATATAGACTACTATTGCTGCGATATCAAGTTGTAATTTATCGCATTTACTATGTGTTTTGGGGGTGGCCAGCCCGCTTACATGGCCAGCTCGCTTACCGAATACGTTATTGCTAGTTCCTTGCCAGAGTTTACCATCTTTCTTTTTGGTACATGATAGGAAAGGCTTGCGACCCTCACGGACGATTTTCTGTAGAAGTGGAGTAAATATTTGAGCTGAATGCTATTTATACCACAGAATAATCCCGAATAACGATCATGATGTAATTCGGTAGTAAATCCTCAAAATCTCATAATCAGCCACTCAACTAGGAGACTCGAGGAATGGTCCCGTCCGGCTCGGTCTTACAGAGTGCCATAGTTTACAATTATTTATCCGTATAATACTGTATGGTAATATGATCGGCTCTCCACCGGGTAATTTTGACTACCTATGTAGCGTACGTAAAGAGCCGTTTATTGGATCTTGTGGAGAATTGAATTCGAAAATTTGAAAGTATTCGTAGGAAGGAGTGGATGCTGGTACATCTACCCCTTTTCTGAAAATGATGCCATTTGGTTTGTGCCGCGACTCGCAGAATAAGTCAATATTTGGCCAGATGACTGGGTATGACCCAATTAGCCGACTCAATGAATATTCATAAACAAAACTACATTTGCCTCATAACCAAGATGCACGAGATATAAATACTCATACTAGGATTTTATCATCTAGTGAAGCTCCATGTGGCACTGCTGGCAGGCAGTCAAAATCTATGTGATCCGTTCAAAGAAGATGACAGCTTGATTTGTCTTCCCTGTCTCGTTAGCTCAAACCCACCACTTAAATATTTCTCTGTCAATGCCAAAGATGAGGGAAACTCAATAGGACAATGAAAGCCGAATATATTCTATTTGTCGGATGCAGGATTGTCTAATCTATGGTAATGGTTGGGGCCGATCTTCACGAAATCCACCCGATCACGGCCCTATAATTAGGCATTTGTCGTAACAGCTAGGAGGCGCTGGACATCTTGTGCCGGATTGGAAGGCCAAGTGAAAGAAAACATGTCTTTAGGGAGCTCGGCGTTCGGCACATAGTGGCGCAATTCGTCAACCATCTCTGCGCGGCGCTCGTCGTGGGTCTTTGACATCATCATGACCGTCAATGCTCGTTCATAGCGGACCTTGTTGTACAATTCCAAGCGTGTAGACACCTGATCCGGTGTTGTCTCCGGGGGGAACAGCGCGCCAAGGGCTGCACAATCCTCGAATGCCTGAGCACCGCCCTGACCTTGATCTAAACAATGTCGTTATTTAGTCAAAGTAACCATATTGAGCCAATCAATCATGTAACATCGACCAGGAAACTCACGAGGAAGAGTTGGGTGTGCTGCATCTCCGACAAGAGCAAGCCTGCCTTTGACAAACTTTGTTGGTGGCGAGCGGGTACCTAGACTCCACAGCTTCACATCTTCACCAAGGCGACACATTTCTTGGAGCTCCGGTCCAAAGTCTTTATAGACCTCGAAAAGATGCTCCACGTTACTGGAATCCAGCCAGGAGGATTCCTTCGCTGAGGTGTCGTCTCCCGCGGGGTGAATACCGACAACATTCAACAGCTGACCTTGACGGCATGGGTAGAACACAAGCCGCCGGTCACTTGCTGTGAACGCATGGAGACCATCCAATCCAGTCCTTTTTAAGATAGAGGCAGCCAGTTTATTATCCTGTGCTTTGGAGACGGGGATCAAGAATCGGAAACAATTTTGACCGGTACTTTCCTTCCGCGACTCCTGTCCGGTGATGCTACTCACGGTTCGGGACTACTGACATGATCAGTGGACTGTCAAACCATAGCTAATTTCTGCAGACGGGGCTTACATGAATTCCATCCGCACCAATGATCAAATCACCAGTGAACGTATTTCCATCTTCGAGTGTGACGACTCCCCTCTCGGCATCCTGGAAATGTCAGCAAGATTGAAATGTTAAAAACGTGCTCAGCTTCTACGCACCACTGATTTTACACGAGAAGACAGCCGGACGCTCACTGATCTACTGTTGAATCCCTTCGCAGCTGTCGCCCGAAGGGCATTGTGTAGATCAACACGATGAGTCAAGAGCCAGTCATCGTGAATGTCCAGTGCTGTTTGGAGATCCTTGGTCACCTGCATCAAACGGTGAGTTCCAAGTATCATTTATATTCGAATGAAGACCTACAACGGGGGTCCAAAGAAGCTCGCCGGACGAGTTCCACACTTGAAGTCGATTGCACTTGGATGCTTGTAGCTGTTCGAAGTCGCATTCCCATTCTTTCAGGATACGACTCGCGTTAGGGGCAACGTGGATAGCTGCACCGACTTCGTTGTGGAAGCCGGACTGCTCAATAACCTAATTTAAGAGTTGGTAATTAGAAAATTAGCATGTGGTATGAATTGAAACAAACCTGAACATCATGTCCGGCCCGGTTCAACGCTATGGCTGTGCCCAAGCCTCCGAGGCCGGCACCAACGACAATAACCTTTAGTGGCATTTTGTGGTTAATATCACAAGATAGATCAAATCACAATTCAGAAATGATTCTAAAGTAATTACGCCGAGTGTTACTATTTCCGCCATTTATGATGGTTATTTATGTGGCAGTGTTCTACCGTCAATCGGCTGTCTCCACTTTCGGTTGCGCCCACTCGGTCTCTCCCAGTGTACTCATCTCCAAAGATGGGGCCTGATGAATATATGCATACCATTTTCTCCAAAGAAAGTGTTTCATAAACTAGTAGTGCTCTCCAGCCCCACTTGCTATTGAATTTTTGAAACCCCTATGATGTATTGGGCTTTCATCGAGTTTTTGTTTGTCCATCAGTTCAAATGCCTACCAGCGAGCAAGCCACTGCTATTTTTGAGCCTTCCGAGCAGCGGAATGCGGCGGCTTTCTTTGAGAATATTGCTGATAATGTCGATTGGAAGGTGAAAGGTAGGTGTTGGAGCTTCCATTGTCTCAGGAAAGTACGGATGAGCTGCGATAATTCTTCGATTATTATACGAAAGGTATTCCAAATGGTTGGAAAGATACATCGAAAATTCGTGTGTCATTACTACGATTCAACGAGGTATGTCGCCAGATAATGTATGCCATGCTAGTCTACCATAGAGCTAATCATTGCTTTGGTAGCCACCGATTGAAAACCTACCGTTTCCATCTTACCCTGTACCACAAGCAAAATATCAAAAGCTGTTCCTACGGCTCAGCAACTCACTCACTGAGCAGAAAGCCCTGCTGGCTTCTCAGATGTCCTACCAATCCAACTACATCCAGACCCAGACAGATGACAACATAGGTTTTGCAAATAGTTGAGCTCGGCAAATAAACTAGTTGAGATGAATATACCCTAACTTCGTTGCTCTGAGCCGAGACTATCCAAGCGTAGCAACTGAGAGCAGCAGCCGTATCGCAACCGTCCTAAGTAGACCTGGAAGCTCGGAAATATTGACAGTCTAATGTTTCCAAGTAATCCCTCTCGCATTGGGTCCTAGTCTATATCCGACTCCGAACGAGCATCGCCCAGCTTGAAAGAAAGTTGACCCCGCTGTATTCCGCCACGGGCACCAATCATGGCGAGATACCGCCGCCGTTTCCACCAAGTCGAGGTCAAGAATGCGGGGCAACGGGCAGATAATGATTGACGCCAATGATGAGTTGATGGTATGGAGAAAGAAAAGCTATCATTAAGCCGAGCTGACGGCTTCCATATCCGATTTACCGGGGAGGAGGGTGTGCTTTTTGATTTAAAGCCACGTTGTTGTCCTGCTCTCAGCTCGAATCGCATATATCCCCTAAGATCTCGCAGGCTTGCTTTGCCATGTACAACTTGAAAATGGCGTTCCAGCAAGTTCCAGTTCGCAGTGTGGACCTCGCGTCGGTATTCTGGTCGCAGATGCAATGCTGCTCAAAGGAGAAGACAATTCCTGCAATCATCAAGGCTCAAAAGTCATTGCAGCACTGGTACTGTTTGACCTGGAAAGAAAGCCATGAGATTCAACCGCATGTAAGTTTATTGCGCCGCCAAAGGGTACCACAACTGTCGAAGCTAACCTTTTTTCATCTCAGCTATTCTGGGATAGTGACATATACAAGATAGTAGAAGCTGCGTGCTACTTTCTCATGAAGAACAAAGATCCGGAAACTGATGGCGACCGTTCAAGAGGCCGTCGACATGATTCGCGCTGCACAGCATCCCCACCGATATATTAGCTCCTACTATACCGTGCTAGATATCGATAAGCGATGGACAAACGTCCGGGACATGCACGAGCTCTACTGTCTCGGCCATTTGACGGAGGCTTGTGTAGCCTACGAAACGCTCATAAACAGTGGTCGACTCCTCAAGCCAGTTCTAAAGGCCCTTTGGCATGTTGACACCCTCTTTGGGTCAGAGCCAGGAAAGAAAAGGGGATACCCGGGGCATTAAGAGATCGAGATGGGGCTTTTGAGGCTGTACGAGCTGTGTGCCGAGCCTGTGCTGTTAGAGCTTGCCACATACTTCATCTATGAACGAGATCATTGTGACGCCAATGGGGAGACGTATTTTGACCACGAAGCCAGAGCCCGTGGCGGAGATCCTTATGACCACATGGGTGGTGAAATGAAAGGGTGGTTTCGGCATCCTCGGGACTATAGTTACAGCCAGTCCCACTGCCCCCTCGTCGAGGCCACCGAGATCAGGGCCGCGCAGTTCGCGCTATGTACTATCTCATAGCAGCGACAGACTTGGTTCGCCTGACGGGAAACGAGAAGATCAAGGCCGCGCTAGATCGGATGTGGACGGACATGACAGAAACGAAGCTGTACGTGACCGGTGGAATTGGTGCGATGCGGCAGTGGGAAGGATTTGGCGGCAAGTATGTGCTAGGCGATACAGAAGAATCTGGCACATGTTATGCAGAGACATGTGCATGCTTTGCCCTGATCCTCTGGTGTCAACGGATGCTCCAACTCGAACTGGATGTCAAATACGCGGACGTCCTGGAGATTGGCCTGTATAACGGGTTTCTCGGCGCAGTTGGTCTAGACGGCGGGTCTTTCTATTACGAAAACCCGTTGAGGACTTATGGTGGTCATCGGAAAGAGCGAGGCAACTGGTTTGAAGTGGCCTGCTGCCCGCCCAATGTTGCCAAGCTGCTTGCCTCTTCCGAAGATAGTATTATTCTGTCACGGATATTCTAGGGCTCAATGGATGCCTTGCTTTTTAAGACTTTATTGAGGAGCTTCAACACTGTGGAAAATGGCCAGAGCCCAGGTCTGTTCTGGTGATGGACAACGCTTCATTCCATCATTCTGACCGCATAGAACAACTGTGTTTAGACGCGGGAGTAAAACTCATATATTTGCCTCCTTATTCGCCTTACTTAAACCCTATCGAGGAGTTTTTCGCCGAACTCAAATCTTTAATTCGGAGGCATCGGGGATACTATAAAGACAATCCTGAACAGGGCTTTCATATTTTTCTGGAGTGCTAAAGTCCGAGGGGACACTTCAGGAATGCCGGTGTCCACGTCGATGAATAGTGAAACTTGAGTTATGCTCCTCCCCTTCGGTTTACTTAGTTGTCTTGCGGGTCAAAGTAAATAGGAATAGACATGAACAATTGCTCTACCAGACTAGCTCATTCATCAAGAACAACCACCCCCAGTCGCAGAGCAGCCGTATTCATGTCTACGACCCGGGAAACGATCGTATCATTAAATGAAGTGTCTGAATCCTCCGACTCGTCCGAGTCCGTCATGTAGAAGTACACCCCAGCCTCTGAGACAAACTTTGCACGGTCAAGAACAACTGTGAACATGCGAAATCCGCTATCTTCGCATGCCCCCCGTGAGCTTTTAATATATTGGTCGGGTCCTTGAGGAGTAAAACGTTTTACTGCTAGGGGTTGACTATCGCCTGTTGTGATACTGTGTAGGCCGCCAATACAAAAGGGATTTTCTCGGTTCTCTTCATTTTGCTGGGATAGAATCTCAAGAACTTCGTTTTGGGCGGGCCTGATGGCCGACCAGGAATTGGACTTTGGAATGAAGAATTTGAGAGTGAGAGTTTTGTTGGCCGGGAGGTTGGAGACCATTGACGCCGTAAAAAGGCGCGCTGTGCTTTCCAAGATAGAGGAACCTTCTGCGTCGCGTATGTGGCTGAGAAAGGCTGCATGGACAATGTATTGAATATCAGGGGTTTCGCCCTCAGGGGTATTGGTGACTGTCACGATGTTGGCTTCCTGAGAAATATGGAATGCCGGATCAAGAGAGAAGCCGCCAACTGAGGTTTCTTGGCCTAGCTGGTCACGAATCTGTTCTTCTGTCGGCATATCCTGACTAGGAGGCTCGCCCTCGTCAATACCTAAGGCGTCTCGCTCCGGATAGCGAGGGACATTATTGAAGATATCGAGAATCATCAACTGGCCTATGTAGATCTGGTCCGTAAGGCGCTCGATGACGAATTCAAATGCCTCTGACAGGAGTACCTCTTGGCCCTCACGCAAATGCTGCGCCACGTCAACCTCAATGCACGTGCTAGAAAATGTGCGATTGAAATAAAGCAAGTCTGGGCCTTCGCCTATCTCCTCAGCCTCCTCCGAGTCCTGCATATTGCCCACCCGATAACTGTGCGATCGCAGCAGGACACAAAATCCAACATTCGAGGATGAATATGGACGATTGAATCTCGGAATCAGTGGGAGGGGATTGTCGACCCCTGACTGATGTTGCTGCTTGCGACGGGCGATTTCAATGCGATTATGCTCAATGCAAGCAAACCGATCGGGCGGGCGGTATGAATAAACCTCGAACAAAGGCTTAACTTCATCATTCCAGAACATCTGCATGAGGTAGTCTCGGAGCTCGTCATGGTCGTCGTCCAGGGGAACAAGGCTGTAGACCTGAAAGGAAACTAGTTCACTAGGCTCTGGGTCATATTCCGGGTTTACGTACTGCTCGAGCACGATAGGATGGCCCAGATGGTCAGTGTAAGTGCGTACTTGTTTCCAAGACCTAGACATGGGGACTAACTCTATTCCTAACTCTCTCTACTCAAGGACACATACCTGCCAGGTATCTGGATTTTAAGTGGTTTGATTGGCTCCCGGAAGGTGGGTCAGGCTCGGGTATTTAGCCTCATAAATGCCTGACTTCCCATGCTCTGATAAGTCTGAAAAATTATTTTATTCTATTCTATCTATATATAAAGGGACTGTTAAAATTTAGGACCGGTAGGTGCCGGGGAAGGTGGTTAAATATTGAGTCAAAGATCGATCTTTTTTTTTTGGTGGGGTGCGACCGTAGATTACGATACATCATCCCGTATAATCAGTTTCACATATAAAGGCTTTGTTGCGCTTGGGGCCCGGACACACCACGGCGATATTGACTTAAAACGGCAACTGCTAGGCATGCTATCAAAAGTTTCAGTTGCTTTTGCAGAATGATTACCCAATACCCAACCTCCGTCATTGGTGGGAAGAGGTTGCCGGGAGCCTGTCCTCGCAAGATGCCGCTTTTGGTACACCAATGCCGGATTTTGTTGCCTCGAAGCATGTTTAGGATTAGTTATGTAAATTAATACATTAACTAACGTATTTCACATGCGAGTGGTCCACACAAGCGAGTGGTCCACGCAAAAACACATAGTAAAAGCGATATAGTTGTCACTTATATTTCAACAACTAACGTTTTTATCTAGCTTCATAACTTGCCGATAACGATTGATAAGCATTTTTAATATAATATATCAATCTTAAACGAATTGAATACTTCCATTGTTGTGGTATTAAAAATTACGCCGCTGGATTCTACAAATATATATATCTCAATTACCAGCCTATTAAATTCCCTCAAAATATATCAAGTAACTAGATATCATATAAGCAGCATTAGGCTGGAAGAGCCAGTTTATATACAAAACCGTTGTTGCACTAACATGTTGTAATTTATCGCTTTTACTATGTGTTTTGGCGTGGACCACTGGCTTGTGTGGACCACTCGCATGTGAAATACGTTAACTAGTTACGTAGTTAACGTATTTCACATGCGAGCCGGCACCACAAGCGAGCCGCCATCTCCAAAACACATAGTAAATGCGACAAATTATAGCTTCATGTTTTAACCATAACAACTTAATTTAATTCCTGCTATAGGTAGATAGGTATTGATAAGCATTTTGGGTGACGTATAGCAATTTTAAGGAAATCGAAAGCTTACAGTCTCACAGCAAAAGTTTTAACAACACCCTGGCCCCACATAGATACCGCCTTCCTATTTAACCTACACCGCCATACGATAGTGACGCGGTATACAATATAGGCTCCATATAGCGCGTATATCTCGCGTTTCCCCCCTAATTTATCACTTTCCTTCTTCGTATATGCTTCTTACTCTCTTCTCTCTCACTATGCCTGCTCGCTCAGAACTTACTCCAGCCATTCGTGAAAGGATCTGTGAGCTACACTCTGCGGTTCATTGGGGGTATAGGCGGATACACCAGAGATATCCGTGGATTTCTATCTCAACAATTCGCTATACGATCAAGAAAGAACATGAAAGACGTGATGGCGTTTCGAAACCGCGTTCTGGTCGACCTAAAAAGCTGAATACTACTGATAAAGTACGTCTTCTTGATGTCATTTCGGAGAATCCGCGGGTTACCCACGAAGATCTGCTTACTGAGGTCTCTCATAAAGTCAAAATCGACTCGATAAGACGCCTCTTGAATGCTGAGAACCTCCGAAAATGGAGGTGTAGCTGGCGTCCCTACCTTACGGAGGAACACGCGCTAAAACGTCTCCGCTGGGCTGTCCGATATCGTCACTTCACAAAGGAGGATTGGGCCCGGGTTTTCTGGTCTGATGAATGTACGGTTAAACGTGGGATTGGTATCCGTCGAGAATGGACATTTGTTCGCCCGAAAGACCAGCCGAAAGAAGGACAATGTCAAGGATTACCACACCGAGGGAAGCAAGTAAAGCAGATGTTTTGGGCTGCTTTTTCAGGGGCTACACGTCGAACAGGGCTTATCCCGCTGTTTGGGGACCCTAAAGCTGAGCGTACGGGTATTACGGGCCTTATTATTAGGGGATTGATATATCCACCCCCCCCTTGGATAATCTCACCCCCCTCTGCCTGAAATTTGGCCTGATTCTCCGCTTATATAATTCATCTGCCCTAACTATAAGGCATCTCTATATTCTGCCGGCCTAATTCTGCCAGCCCAAACTGCAGTTTTGAATTCTGGTTTACATAGTAAAAAAGACCTTATTTTACTCAGAAAATAAGGGCTGAATGTCATAGAAGGCTTTACATAACTGTCTACATTTTCCTTAATAGTAAGAGGTATGTGAGGCCTAACATGTTGATGATATTGAGGCTTTTTGAGGACACAAATGCGATGAAAAATGGGTTGAGAATGATAAACTCCAAGCTGGAAGCCAGAATTGATAAATCAACTGGGCGTAGACTGCGACATCGCCCATGGACGGGCGGGTGGGCAGTGCCCACGGGCCTTATGTAAGCGGGCGATGGGCACTATCCATACGCCCATGGACGGGCCCTACCCTTAGGGCCCATTGTCCATGGACACCGTGGGCGCCCATGGGCCTTTTTAGTAAGCAGAATTTCTTGACCTCGTGACCTGCATTATTTGTGCATTTTTTCTCTGTATTTTTGAGTAATTCGATTACATGTACAATGACTTGATACTACTGTCAATTTTCTGACCGAGGTCAGAAATGAGCTTTAGAAGCCTTTATATAATAACTTGATACATTGTCACTTTTTTGACCGGGGTCAGAAATGAGCCTTAGAAGCCTTTGCATAATGACTTAGGTATTCATTATATTCATACATTCACACTAATACGATACAAATTGATCATCATTAGGTTTACCACGCTTCCTTGCTTCTCTTAAACCAGGGCGCTTTTAAGTGCTACCCTTATCTCCATAATGAGGGAGATGAGGACTGCTCTCATCTTCGCTGTCGACTAGCTCACTTCTCTGTCGCTTCCGCGTACTTAGCACTATAGAAGGACGAGGAAGCTGACTCTCCATTATAAACTCATGCTCGATCAGTCCAATAGGATCATTATCCTCGGAATCCTCACTATCGCTAATTAGTTTAGGCATGTTAGTGGTAAGCTCAGCCTCTCTCTGTTCGTCTGCTTCTTACATTAAATCTAAGGACGTATCCTTATCGGGTAGTTCTTCTATTTCAATGTCGAACTGGGTTTTACACCGGAACATCATGATATCCTGGACTGTCTTCGCACTTAGCCGCCCACGTCGGTAGTGGCAGACATCCCGTGCTGAATTAAAAAGACGTTTAACTCCAGCGCCTATTATAGGAATAGAGAGAATATCGCGAGTAACACTAGAAAGAATTAGGAATTCATTCTCATATTCCTTCCAGAATTATAAAGGATCGACCTTTCTCCTTACTATCATAGGTATCAGTATTCCTGCTCGTAATAACAGTGAATATAACGTACGCTTTTTAAGGTATCTAGTAAGTTCGTGCTCTGACGTTAATGGATTAGAGTGGATGTGAGGCAGAAGGTTAAGGAGGGCGTCTAGGTCACTTATACTAGCTGAGTGACGCTTAGGGGGTTACTCTTCTCGTAGGGACCGTGTCTAAGTGTGTCTTTAGGCGTAAGGAGCTATGAACTAGCGAAGCGTTTCCTTATACTAATCACTCTAGTTTATGTCGTTCTCCGATGTACCCTACGCCTTACTTAAGAAGAAGTGAAGCTTATGCTGGGGTACAAGAATTGTTCTAATCGCGTAGAGACTACCATGGATCTCTTTCGTCTTTATGTAGTAAGAGGTAAGCTTTGCCATCCCAGCATTAAGGGCTTATAGCATCGCCTTCTTCTAAGGTATGGTTTTCGGAGTGAGTCGTGTAATCGATTCCTCGAAGTGCTTAAAGAGGGCGTTATAAATACTAAAAACATGGTGTACTGTTATCTCTTTGGTCTTTAAAAGCACTGTGGTAAAGCGATAGAACGGCTCTGTGATATACAGAAGGTAGTCGACCTACCGCTATTCTGCCTTACTAAGTTTATATTTCTGAGTCCTAATGTTATCACAGTATTCATCGCAGGGCTTACTAAGGCGTTTCGCACGACGAAGCATTAAGAAGGTAGAATTCTAGCGGGTGCGGATATCTTAGATAGGCGTAAGTTTTGCTCTATTAGTCTGGAGACGGAAGAAATCATCGCGACGTTAGGGGCTTACATTAATGAACACAGTAAGCCCTCGAATCTAGATAGTTATTAGATATATTAAGTGATAAAGAAAGTGATACACTTACCTTAATAAGGGTTTATACAATGACTTATTCACTCTGTGAAGCACGGAGCGATCGAGCTTAGGCTTAGGCTTAGACATCTGAAACATTCCGATCTGTGGTATCGTTCTGGGGATCGGCCTTTACTGATCTAAGTAGCTCGCGAAGGCTTAGCTAGATAACATGTGTAAGATAAGGGATTCGAATAACCACCGGGCTATTCGTTAGTTTAAGGGAGTTAATAGAGTCTTAAACTACCTATACTAAAGTTATGTTATTTAACGCGTTATCTGATATAATCGCTAACACACGATTAGTAATATTAAGCTTCTTAAAGATCTCCATAAGTACTTCACTTAGATTCACACTAGAATGCGCCCCATTAAGTGGTTCGAAACTAAGTAGGAGCTCACGGTAATTCTAGTCTCGGTCGATAAAGTACCCTGTGATTACCATAAATGCCTGCTAAAAAGGCGATGTCCAGCAGTCGAGGGCGATTAAGAGCTTCGCATCTTATGGTAAGGTAGCGAGAATTATATGTTACTCCTCGTCGACTAATTTCTTGAGCCGGCGTTAAGTAGTGCGAGGATGGAGTAAAGTGGGTTCAGCTGGAGCCTTTTATGCCATTCGAATCAAGGAAGTAAATTACTTCCTCTTAAGTATCCGGAAAGGGAGGTTCAGACTAGTAAGACATTTAATCTGCTCTCTTTCCTATTTATCATTCGAGAATTTTAAGTTAGAAGATAACTCCAGTGCCTAATATATAATATGTTAGTTATCTTAAAGGGTATAATCATATAAGACTTACCGGTATATGCTGCATAGTCTCCTTAATCGACTGTTATATAGACTTACTTTTACCACCCTTAGGGCTTAGGGCTTAGGGCTTAGGGCTTAGGGCTTAGGGCTTAGGGCTTAGGGCTTAGGGCTTAGGGCTTAGGGCTTAGGGCTTAGGGCTTA